TTAGAATAGTACCTAGCAATGTGAGCGTTTAAGACAGTCATCACCATTGAATGCATGTATTTAAAGTTTAATACTTGGAAGGCATGTTTTTCTCCTTTAATATTATTAATCCCATAATCACAGGGAAGCCTCCATATCTCTTCACACATGTGCTGATATATTTGAATGAAAATGTGTAAGGAAAGAGACGGAAGAGGACACTGAGTAAAACTGCTCAGAAGTGTGATTGAGATGTTTTGGTTACCTGAAAAAAAATAAAATCCTCATCAATCTGACTTTATTTTGGAAATGGATAAATCTTTAGTCTCTATTTATTCACCTTGCTGTTTTTGTACTCCACAAAGTCATAAGAGAAGTGCTTTGCCCATTTTCCATTTGATTCATCTTTTTTCTGTCCTCATTTCTTTGTTGCCCTTGGAGAAAATGAACTTGCTGGAGAAGCCCTTCTATTTTTACAGGACTCTACAGTTGGCCTGACTCTTCTCCAGTCTCTGTGACGGTGCCACCCATTCCTAATTCAACCCAACTCTTCTACTACATCAAGTCTTTTTTTTTCCATACTCATGTACTCACTGTGCATTTCTCAATTTACACATCTCCATAGCATGAGAACTCCCCCTTTTTTTTTTTGGCATTAAAGCTCTTTATTTGAAGAAATTTGGAAAAATTAAAGTGATTAATTAAATGAGCATTCAGTGTTAATGGAAGATATAAGAAAAAGACTCAAGTTTGTGAAAAATAATACTTCATTTATATACATTACATATATCATCTAGGTATTCATAGTAAGTTTCTGTGGAGGCAAATATTTTCTTTTTTTTTTATTTATTTTTTTATTAGTGAAGCACCATGAGGTACAGTTGTAGATTTACAAATCTTTGTGCCTGAGTTTCGTCATACAATGATCAAATACCCATCCCTCCACCAGTGCCCATTTCCCCCCACCCCCCCTCCCACCCTGCCTCTGTGGCAGGGCATTCCCCCTTGGAGAACTCCCCTTTTAATTGCATGATGATGATTTTGGTTCAACATTATAAATGCTTTTTAAAAGCACACTTCGTGGAAATATTCACTATGATTTATTCTTCCCTCTTCAGAATGTAAAATTATCTTCCTAAGATGCAGAAAAATAAATACATAGCATATTTCCCTAAAACAGTGAGAGTTTCCTAGCAAGAGTATTTAAAATCAACTGCAGGAGTACACTGTGTCCCTCCTACCTCATGTACAGATAAGGCATAGGGATCAGAATGGTGGAGCACATGTCTGGCAGAGGTGAGACCCTGAGTTCAGTCTCTGGCTCAGTACAGCCCCCAGAGCACTGCCTAGGTGCCCTGCTCGCCCCCAGCAGCCCCAAGCACATCAGGCCAACATCCTACGTTGCTGGGCAGTGACCCTGCTTTTCTGCATCACCTCCCTCCTATTCCCTGCACTGCTAGATGTGAGCTCTGGAAATTTTTAAGGTATTCTTCAGTATTAAAAGTTTTTCAATAAAAATGTGTAGTTTCCTTCACACATCATACAGTCTATTCTGAATGTATGTCACCTTTACTTGAATCAAATTCTAAAACAGGTGTAATTTGTCTTCACAAACTACCCCACAAGCCCTTTGACTCCGTTGTCAGCATCTGCCAATGACTTGTCAAGCATCTTGTTTTCTCCCACTTCCCGGGGGACAGCTCATCCACATCTGGCCTCCCAGAATCCTCTGGACCCTCTCAGAGCAAATGTGATTTGGAAGATGGTTTGGAGGCTAGCAGCTCTTTATTATCAGACACTCTCATTAAAATTTTTATTGTAAATTATTTTCACTCTAGTATACTTACTAATAATATAGCCAAAAATGTTTTGGGCTAGAACATATTCACAGCTGTAGGGTGTTTGCCTTGCACGCAGCAGGCCCGGTCGAGCCAGGTTCATTCCTCCGCCCCTGTCAGAGAGCCCAGCAAGCTACTGAGCACATCTTGCTCTCATGGTGAAGCCTGGCAAGCTCCCCATGACGTATTCGATATACCAAACAAGTAACAAGAAGTCTCATGATGGAGATGTTACTGGGCCTGCTCGAGCAAATCAATGAACAACAGGAGGACAGTGCTACAGTGCTACTTATATTTTAATGACTTTAAGTACGTTCTCATTGTTGTGTGATCTGCATCACCTTGAAGCTGTGCTGCTATGGGATCGTTCATCCTGGCAAGCTGAAACTCCGCCCTTAGCAACTTCCATGTTTCCCTTCCTTCCCAGCCCCAGTCCCCACCAGTCGACTATGTGTATCTGGGAATTGAACATTCAAGTGTCTCTAAATCAGCCCGTACACAGTGGTCTTCTCTGAAGGAAGGATGTCCCTCTGTCCTTAGAGTTTTCATGTGAAATGAGTTGTCACAAGGATATTTTTTATGTGCTCAGGTGCTGTGAAAGACACAAATGAAGTGTGAAAGACTGTGGTAAGAATGCCTGATTTGGGACACAAGAGAAAGTCAGAGTTATTTGGCAACTGAGGGGGGAAAGGCCTGAAGGACAGGGATGAGGTCATGTGGTGTGTGTGTGTGTGTGTGTGTGTGTGTGTGTGTGTGTGTGTGTGCCCGCATGGTCCGAGGGGAACTACAGTCTGCTCAGGTTTCAGGAGCTGAGTGTGGACAGAGAGCAAAGGCACATATGGAGTTTTCTTGGGTGCTTGGCAGTTTCTGTAAGGGTATGTGATTAAAAAATCAGGAAATGGGGCTGGAGCAATAGCACAGCGGGTAGGGCATTTGCCTTGCATGCAGCCAACCCGGGTTCAATTTCCAGCATCCCATATGGTCCCCTGAGCATCGCCAGGAGTAATTCCTGAGTGCAGAGCCTGGAGTAAGCCAAGAGCATGCTGGGTATGACCCAAAAAGCAAAAAAAAAAAAAAAGTCAGGAAATGATCTCAAATCATTTCATCTTCACAGAGAAAACTAGAAGGCTCTTAAATTTATAATACAGGGTCAGGGATGTGACTCGGTCAACCACTTGCCTTGCACGTGTGAGGCCCTGGGATCTATTCTTGGCACTACTTTAAAAAATTACAGCCCAGATCTGATGATCAGTTTAATATTAATAATTCCTGTCCCATTCGAAGCAGTCTCCCATGGCAACCTGCATCATGCTGATTCAGCTCTGTTTCTGCATCTGTCAGTTAACTAATTCTCTGTCTCAGATTCAATTCCCACTAGAAAGAGGTCAGTCAGTGCTCATGCCACAAAAGGTGCCTCTGTCCCTTTCTCATCCTGGGCTGCCTCTGTGCAGGTTGTGTTTTGTTGCATCCTGCAAAAGCTGTCAGTAAGGTTAAAGGGCTCCAACTCGGCTGGAGGCTTCTTAGGATAGATAGCAGTGAGCCCCTCTTACCTTGTACCATGTAGGACACTGGTGAAATGTGAACAAGGGAATGGCAGGAATCAAATCACTGGAAACCTTCTCTATCACTCTTGGAAACTAAAAATGTATCCTGAGAGCTACAGAGAGTCATTGCGTGGTTTAAATCAGGGGGAAAACATGATCCATGCACAAACTGAATGGAGGAGGATTAGAGACTGCTGGTGGGTTATAAAAGCTTTTGTAACAGTCATTGAAGCCAGAAGATTGAGCTCACCATCGATAATTGAAGAGAAAAAAGGCCAGAGCCTGTGCCTCCCAGGACTTTGTAAGGAGCAAGAAAAAAAAAATGATAGTGACCCAGGCCTTTCGTATTATTACAACTATGTGTTACACATTGAGATGACCAATTTATTGTCCTGGAAATCGTCCTTCTTACTTTGGAGGTTTTTGTATAGTTGCCTATAAGGCAAATAAATGAAGAAAAAGATGACCACATATTGATATTAGGTTAAAAACTATATTGGATTTATCTAGACATATGGGAATGGTAATTAAATGGATTAATAACAGTTTGTCCATTTAATTCAATTTAGTAAACGAGTTGACCATTATGATGCTGGAGAGAAAATTATTATAGTCATTTATCAATGCCAATGAATTCTAGTTTCTGTTACTGATCTATGACATATTTGTGATCCAAGAAAATAAGAGATATGCAGAATGACAAGTATTCCACACTCTCTTAAACCTATAGGTCATTTCCATGGGTAAATATAGAAAATCACCCTTTATAGGTTACCCTGCAAATGACACCAAACATATAGTGACTTTATTAGCTATTACTGAAAATTTGTGTGACCAACCAGGAGAGTCCAATCAAATAACATAACAAACATTTCTCTTTGACTCATAATCCTTCCACCTATCTCTTTCTGTCCTTCCTTCTCTTTCGGGCCTTCACACACACCACTCTCAGCATGTCTGCCCTCCCTGATCCTTTTCTATTGCTGGATTTCTTTCTCCTCTCTGTACTTACTTACTACCTTGCTTCTTCATCCTTCCTAAATTCTGCCTCGAACCTGACACCTCCTCCCTAAGACCAGTTCCAAATGTTTAACCTTCTATTATGCAGAAGAACTTAGGTACCGTTTTTGGCTCCTAAGTAAACCCTTTAGAGGCTGCTCTTGGTCCCAACCCAGGGCATTTCCCTAAAGGTTAACAGTGTGTCCCCCCAATGTCTTTGAACCCTATACAAGAAGAAATTCTTAACAATTTTTATTTTACCAGTAGCCGACACACATTATAGAAAAGTGAAGATGGTGAAAGTAAGTGTATATGTAGGGAGACAGAGAGAGAGAGAGAGAGAGAGAGAGAGAGAGAGACAGAGACAGAGACAGAGACAGAGACAGAGAGACAGAGAGAGAGACAGAGAGAGATTTAACAGAAAACTAAAAGATTAAATTTAAATCTTTGATAATACATTTCACAGGGAATGCAGTCATTCATTATTAACCTGCTGCTGGCATATGTCCTGGATATTTTCCTTCTGAATCATGAAATTCAGAAAACAGTGCTTTCTCCAGTTTATCTGAAACAAGCTCCAATTGAAGGGAAAAATTTTGGGGGTCCCATCTCAATTGTTGTCTTCCCGCTGGGCTTTCAGAGGCTGCGTATACTCTCCTGCTATATGATGAGCTGCTGGAATGGTCTGATCGCCCCCTCCGGGAGTTCCTGACCTACCCCATGCAAACAGAGTGGCAGCGCAAGGAGCACCTGCACCTGGCCATCATCCAGAACTTCGACAGAGGCAAGGTAATGCTGCTGCCCATTGGTGGCTTCTGTGGAGTGATCATGTCGGTGTCACACGTCCTTTGATTTCTAGTTCATGCACACCCGTTTCCTCAGTCAGGGTCCCTCATATGAGCATGCACATGAAAAATGTCCCACTTGAAAAAAAATGGCTATCAGGCAAGGAATTCTGTGCCTTTAATGAGGTCTCCAGAAGATTCCAATGTGTGAACCATGGACATCAATTGAAGATACACTGAACTAGGAGTTTTGACAACTTAAGTATTTTATTCTCTGGAAGAAAAAAAAAAAACAATATAACCATCAGTCACCTCTCCAGATTGGCATCTGTGCTGCCACTCAGCATTTTTGTAAAGTGAGATGAATGAAACTGAATTTGGTTAAAGAATTTCATGTCATCCCATCATATACTTAAAAATGTGATAAAGTATTGAAAAAGGTACGATATAATTCAGTTGATTTGACTGTGTGAATGCTTTTGGTGCTATCCTAGATATCTCCAAACTGCCAAGGTCAAACAGAAAATTTAAATACAGTCAGTGACTGTCATTTTTAACAAACTTAATTAGGTACATCTAAAACTGTAATGTAAGGAAATTGCCTCTTTCTCTCCTCGTCTATTATTTATCAACTACATTGGCTTGTCATTGCATTAATAGCAAGGAAATGCCAGTTGTCCCCTCTGCTGTAACATTTCCCCTCTGCTTTAACATTTTCACTGTAGGACAGATTTGACAAAATCCTGAGCTTCATATGTATAGGCCCATTCCTAGAAGTCTGTGTTTCATCAATGTTGCCACACCTGCGGTCATGCATGAGTAGAAGCCCACAGTCTAAGAATTGCATTTGCATTTTACATAGTTGAAAGAAATCAAAACAAGAACAATGCTTGATGAGTGACATTTTTGTAAGAAATTCAAATTTGCGTGTCTGTAGATTAAAGCCTTCCAGGAATACAACCAAACTCATTCGTGTCAATGACCGCCCTTTTAGCAGAGGTCAATAGTTGTCACGAAGGCTGAATGACCCACATAGTCTAAAGTATTTATTATCCCGCCCTTTGCAGAAAAAGTTTGATGGCACCTGTGCGACATCACAGAATTTTTGCATCTCTTCTGAGAGCAGCCAGCTGGGTTAGCCCCTCACAATTTACAAGTGCAATGGAACCAAACAAGGAATTCAGCATGCCAGTTGTATATAATTGGGCCTTAGGGGTCAGTGGTAATTATTCCCTCCTCATCACCAAGGCCTGTTTATTCATCTCCTTGGTCATTGTGGAGCTGGAGTTATTTTGAGATGATGATTCTGAAATGAAACCAGAAAATGTTTTTGCACATATGCTAATAGCTGCTGTGGTGGAGTATTCAGTTCCGACTTCCTGCCGAGTCTTAATGGTTTTCATGTTAATTATATGATATGTTTCCTATTTTAAAATTTTAGTCATACTGTTAGAGGTCGATTATGAAGATTAAGGCTTGATCATCAGAAAGTATTAAGGACACCTCCTGACCTCTGGGTGGAAATAAGATAATGTTTGAGAATTGTCACATTCTTTTTGGGACCAGCGTGATAGTACAGCTGGTAGGCTGCTTGCCTTGCACGAGGCCCACCCACATTCAATCCCCAGCATCTCATATGTTCCCTCAAGCACCACTAGGGCTGATCCCTGAGCTCAGAGCCAGGAGTAAGCCCTGAGCACAGCCGGGTGTAACTCCCAAAACAAAACAAAACAAAAAGTACATTTGTGTTATTTGTCCACAGTGTTGGGAGAATGGTATCATTTTGTGCCGGAAGATTGCAGAGCAGTATGAGAGTTATTATGACTACAGAAACCTGAGCAAGATGAGGGTAAGCATCCTAATCTCATTTTGGCATCTTTTTACTTTAATGAGCTTTCTGGCATGAAATTAACTTTGAGGTCATCTCAGTGGTTTTATAAAAACTTTTTTAGAAGATTCTTCCCTTCTGAAGCACCCTCGGTAGCTTATTCAAAGAAGTAAAGGTAAAGGTAAAGGTAAAGGCCCTCCCGTTGATCGTCGATTTGCTCAAGCGGGCCCAGTAACGTCTCCATTGGAGACTTTGTTGTTACTGTGTCTGGCATATCGAATACTCTCGGTAGCTTGCCGGGCTCTCCGAGAGGGGTGGAGGAATCGAACTCGGGTCGGCCATGTTGGCCGCGTGTAAGGTGAACACCCTACCACTGTGCTATCGAAGTAGCAAACTGATTTGTGGGATACTATAATATACCAAAAATGTGAGACCTCAGTCTATTCTAAAAATATATAATCTAATAAGATTAGTATTTATAGGAAATAGCCATATTTTTTAAAGAGCTTTCCACTTGTACACATATTTTTATAACAATGTACCATTTAGGAAAAAATTTAGTAATTGGTCCAACTTTTAAATTATTATGGGGGCCAAATTATATCAGTGTCAGATCTCCTGAGCTTCAGAAATATTATTTATTTGTCTAACCTATACAGAATTAGTATCCAAGGAATTTAATATTTCAAATCCTTGAACCAAATGGTCTATATGTTCTCTTCTCTCATGTTCAGACAAGTCCCTGTTACCTTCTAAGGCCTTATTCTTTAGAGTCACAAACATTTCATACCATTTTGTAATATTTAAGCTCTTCAGAGTTTCTAAAATAGGATTATTAGCTTATACACACACACACACACACTCGGATCAGGGCTGGGCCTCCTCCATCCAGATCCCCCATAATTCAGTAGCTAGGCATTACACCCATCAACTGTCCCCAACTCCATGTTATTCCATCAACGGCCAAGACCCAGAGACTATAAAAACAAGCTCCCAGAAGAGAACAATGCAGAGTTCCCTGCCCCTGCACCTGGCTGTCCCCACTGGGACCCCTTGGAGGGGAGTGGATTGAGTTTCTCTCCTCACCCCGAGCAGAACCCTGGCAGCTGAAGACCTCTGAAACCCACCTACAGCCATGCTAAAACCACTCTCCACATGCTCGGATGAGCCTCACTCATGAAGGAACAGGCAGCTGAGGTGTGTACAACCCAGAACTGATATCTCCAAGGCTGCTCAGATTGGGACTGGGCCTCCTCCACCCAGATCCCCCATATTCTAGTAGCTAGGTATTATACCCACCAACTGCCCCCGGCGCTATGTAATCCCATCAAAGGCCAAAACCCAGAGACTATAAAACCAAGCTCGTAGAACCTCTTATTTTCTAGTTCTCACTCTCGGAGAACCCAGCAGGCTACCATGAGTAACCTGCTCACACGGCAGAGTCTGGCAAGCTCCCCGTGGCATATTCAATATGCCAAAACCCAATAAGAATGATGGGTTTCATTCCCCTGACTCTGAAAGAGGTTCCAATGTGCTAAAATCTTGCTAAAATCTCAGGGCTAGGATGAATGGAGACATTAATGGTGCCTGCTCGAGGAAATCAATGAACAGTGATACACACAGGGATACACAACAGGGATGACAGTGATACAGTGATACACACATAAGCACACACATACGCACATGCACGCACACACATAGAGATATATATGAAGGCTGTGTTGTTATCTTTTAATTCTGCGGTAGCAACTTTGACAGCTCATAAAATCCCTTTTACCACACAACTAGCTTATTCAAGCAATAGGACTAGACTCTTTACCTCTGGCTTAGGATTTCATGACAGCAATTCATCAGTATTTCTCTTCACATAAAAACCAAAGGGGGAAAAAACTGTTTCCCCCTCAGTCCATCACACTGGTCCTGGCAGACACTGCAGTTTTCTATAAGATTGCTTCTGTGCTTCTCTTGGCATCCTGTCCGTGTAGCAGAAGTGAGGTTACAGTGTTTACCCGGGAGAGCCCTTGGGTGCCATAGTCACTAAGATTTTTATAAACCCAGAGCATTACACTTCATACTGACTGCTCTTTGGGGTGCTGTTACTGGGGCTGGGGAAAGGAGGAAAGTTTTCTGGTGCAATATTAGTCTTTCTCTAGAAACCCTGGGGATGATAATACCATGAATGAGAAGCCATAAGCTTTATGTGCTTCATAGTTCCAATACTGTCAAAGACACGCTGAAGAGCTTTCAGCTTTGCCATGGGAGCCTCCTTTGCTAGTTTATTTGCTGGTTTTATCCCTTCAACCTATGCAAGGCCACATTTTCCGAATGTCCTGAATTACTACATCCATGATAGAATCAAAGCCCACAGGTGAGCACAGATGGCACTAGAATTCTCCAGAAATGTTCTATTTCTAATAGATCATATTCATTTCTGTTTAAGTGTGTAGAAAGGCATTTCTCTGTGATTGTATCTGTCAAAATCATTTTTTCTCTAGTGAGATGGAATAATACATTGGATCCTTTCAGATGATTACTAAACATCTATGTGTCCTTTAGGTCCCGAAGAACTGAGTGACTGTGATAGATACCATATAACTTGGAAAACCTAAAACTTTTACCTTCGTCATTAAAAGAATAAGCTTGCTCTGTGAGCCTTACCTCTTAGTATAGGAAGGGAGTCAAACTTTCTTTTCTGCAAACTGAGCAAAAACAAAATGTCCTTCTATGTAAAAGAAATGATTTCTTCTATCAACTAGTGAAATTGGAAGGTGAAATGAAATATTTAGAATTTCTCTTTTCCTAGATGATGGAAGCCTCTTTGTATGACAAAATTATGGACCAGCAACGCCTGGAACCGGAGTTCTTCAGAGTTGGATTTTATGGGAAAAAATTTCCATTTTTCTTAAGAGTAAGTAATATACTATTTGCCTTCATACTCCAAGGTAGAAACAATGAAAAAAAAGATATTAACAATATTCTGTCTTTTTCAAGCAGAGGAAAAATTGCATAAACTTTTGAGTTTATAAACACCACACTAATCTAAAATACTTTATTTGAGCAATTGCTCAGATATCAAGCAGTGTTTTGATTCTTCCAAAGTTAATATGTTTAATATATTTTATGAGCAATCTTTGGTCATTATTGTTGTTTCCCTTCTGTGGTTAATGATCACTATTTAGTTCAGTCTGCGATTGCTGTGATGTTTGCCTTAAGGATAAATGACTGCATTGCAAGATTGAGAATTATACACTCTCAAAAGCATAGCAGTTTCACCTCCTGTGAACATCCTACTTTCAGAATTATACAGGGAATTTTGTTTGACCTACTTGATGACTTTGTGAGAAGGTAAATGTCACCCTGCAAAGAGACTCAATTTATTGCTTATACAAACAGGAAAAATTTCCAGACATTCAAAGTTTCCTACTTAAAAATATATTTGATTCCATTCTTCCAGTGTTCACCTAGGGTCCTGTAGTTTATGTGCTTGAATATTCATTGAAAACATGTTACCTCCAACCTGTATACAAACATTGGTTGAAAGAGGATATGTACTTACCTCTCTAGGCAGCTAAGGAGAACTATCTGGTATAATTTGTAAAATGAGTAAATTAATTATAAATTTTATCTTTCAATATACAAATATCTTGGTATATTGCCTGACCTAAATCCTACTTTCATCCTATATCTATTCACAGATACAAGATAAAACTATTAGAAAAGAAGAAATGTTTTTACTTCATTGTTTAGTCATTAAAGTCATTTAGAAATAAAACTTAATTGTATAATTAATAAATTTTCATGAACAATGATTCTAGAAAATAAATTATAAACATATTGACTTATTTATCCATACACTCCACATTATCCAAATACCACTGACAAAGTTATATTTTCATATCACGTGGAGCAAACATGAAGATTTGGACAAATTGATGTCCTCTTTCATTGATTAAATGATTAAGTAGACTTAAGTGAAATCTCCTTGTTGGGCTACAAGAGAATAAGCACATTCTGGTCCCAAAGCTGACTCTACAGCTGGATATACCTAAAGGCAGAGGGAAACCTGATTCTGGGTTAAAAACCAATGGGAATTTCAGAACACTTGTTGAATTTGGAAGACTAGTTTCAAAGTAGACATACTGTCACCAGGAACTCTCTGCAGAGCTCCTGAGTCCAGATTCAGGGTGTCAGTGAAATGAGGGGCACTGTAGCACTGTAAGTGGCACAGAGACTTGAAGATGGTGCAAGTGCCCAAGGACTCAGCAGAGGCTCTGCAGATGAACTGTTCACTCTATTGGCTCAAAATCATGCAAAGGCAAATATGACGTTTCCTTTCATCATGTTAGAGTTAACTGATTCATTAACCCAGTATTTACATTTGGAAATCATAATATGGTCAGATGGGGCACAGAATTGCTTCTTTTCTTTTTAATGGTCTTTCAAAAGTCAGACGAGGGAGCCAGAAAGATAGTACAGAAGCTAGGGTGCTTATCTTGCACACAGCTGAACCAGGTTTGATACCCAGTACTACATATAGTCCTCTAGCACTTCCGGAAGTGAAATCTGAGCACAGAGATAGAGCCAAGCCTGAGCAACACCAGGTATGGCCCAAAAACCAAAAATCAAAGAGAGACCAAGAAGAAAACTCAGAGGTCAGGTTAACCATCCTTCCGTGCACAAGACTGGAGTTTGAGCCCAGAAGCATTATGAGGTGCAGTCATGGAAGTCCCTAAACACCATCAGGTGTGACCCTGTGAGTCCTCACACAGCTGGCTTGAGCAGCGTAGCATCACCCTAGCGTTTACTGTTCCCCAGTTAGCTGTGGGTCACTGGGGCTGACTGTAAACTTCCTGAGTACTGTAGGAGGCAGCCTCCCCTCTCGAAAGAAAGAAGAAAATTAACTTTCGTTTTTTAAAAAATGTTATGTATTGTATATTCTATATTCTACATTAAATAATATTAATTTTTAGATCAAATCTGTCATATAATGATTTTTTAAGTATTTATGAAAGTACCCCAGTAAAATCATAATGTAGTTCTAATCAGCATCTGGTTTAAGCTAGCACTTGTATTGAGTAGCCCTAGATATCCATGTAGTGTTTGCAATTAATATCAGTAAAATATATAAAGTTAAAAATGTATAAGTCATTTAGTAGCCATACTTGTTTGTTCATTTGTTTTACCTAGACCAGCTCCTCATTGTTGTTGTAATTTTATCTTTGGATGTAGGAAGTGATAATTTAATGAAAACATCCTTGTGATGAGTTAGTAATCCCAATCAGAAAAAGGCAAAACAATCCTTGGAATGTTTCCTGAAGACCAGGTAGTTGGTGAGGTATAAACAAATTGGAGAACGGAGCAAGATGTAATATAGGAGGGAGAAAAGAGTCTAATAGTCCTTTCACATCATTATGAATACTTTCATTTTGTTTTATTTTGATTTGGTTTGCTTTGCTTTGGGGGCCATACCTGGTGGTTCACAGGGATAATTCCTGGCTCTGTAATCAAGGATCACTCCTGATGGGACTTGGGAGACATGGTCCCAGGTATAGAACATGGGTCAGGCATGTGCAAGGCAAGGGCCCTTCCTGTTGTGCTCACTACAACCTGGGACTTATATTTTATTTATTTGTTTGTCTGTTTGTTTGTTTAGAGGCCATACCCAAAATCCCTCCTGGCAGGCTCGGGGGACCACATGGGGTGCCAAGGATCTCACCTGGGTTGCCCATGTGCAAGGCAAATGCCCTAACCACTGTACTATTATTCCCACCCATGGAATTTGCATTTTAAACAAAACCCCACTTTTATGGTGATAGAGGCAATAATTTTAAAGGGAATTTAACAAATGAGAAAACTACATCAGCTAATCAAATAAATTTTGTTCAAGTGTCGATTTGAATAAGCCCATCTCTCTCTACATCATGAGTCATTTAGAAATGTTTCTAGATGCATTTTCTTCAGAATGAAAGAGAAGGGTTACCCTCTGTTGGTTTCTAAGCTACACTGCACCCTCCGGAACTGCAGTAGGCCTTTTGAAAGAAATCAGATTCTAGTCTATTTTCTTCATTTTGAACATTTTAAAAGCCTTGAAAATTACCTTTCATTGTTAAGTCAACTTCAGGATAATTTTTAAAGCTCAAATAAATTCATTCAGCCCTATAATTATATGATCTAATTACTCTTCTTTTTCTAATTTTTAAAAAAATAATTTTAGGTTCTGTGGTTTCCTGTACTGTTAATGGTAGAGTTGCATAAGTCACTCCAGTACCACACCTTCCATCATAGTGTCTGCTTCTCTTCACAATTGTCCCACTATCCCTCCACCATTCTGTCTCCCACCCCACCCCCTCACTCCTGATCCCATGGTGAACTTCCTACTGAAGACCAGTTCTGCTTCTGTTGCCTTTGGGTGTTTGTTAGTCCCCTAATATGCTTCTTTATACCCCATGTATGAGAGAGATTATTCGGTGTCTGGCCCACTCCTAACTAATTTCACTCAACGTGATGCTCTTCAAATCTATCCACATAGCAGCAAATGGCATTATTTTTTTTAATCCAGTGTCCAATAGTAGATGACTGGATAAAGTAACTAAGGTACATAATGAAATACTACACAATAGAATATATACAATGGACTACTACTTGGTTTTAGAAAAATTGAAATAATATAGTTTGCTGCTACATGGATGGAACCTGGGTCAGCCATGTATAAGACAATTATACACTGTACTGTCTCTCCAGGGCTGGAGCTATAGCACAGCAGGTAGGGCATTTGCCGTGCATGAGGCCAAGCCAGGTTCAGTTCCTCTGCCCTTCTCGGAGAGCCCGAAAAGCTACGGAGAGTACCTCGCTCACAAGGCAAAGCCTGGCAAGCTACCCTTGACATATTCGATATGCCAAAAACAGTAACAAGTCTCACAATGGAGACATTACTGGTCCCCTCTCAAGCAAATTGATGAACAAGGGAGGACAGTGCTACAGTACAGTGCTACTGTCTCTCCAATCCCTATAAAAAATAATTTTAAGACACATTTTCATTAACATTTAAAGTAACTGTAATTGTTTTGTACTTCAGTGATATGAGAGTCAGGTTTTCTTTGCATAGCATGCAAGTACATAGGCAAGAGAGAGGCTTGCTACTGGATCTTAGCAGTCATATAAGGGGGACGGGGTCATGGCCAAATCATCGAGCACTTACCTTGCATATATTAGACCCTTGGTTCCATCCCCAGAATAATTTTTTTTAAGAGAAAGCAAAAGTAATGCAAAACAAAATTTAGAATCTTTGCCCTGCATTTTTCATACTTGGAAATATTTCCCCCCTGTGTATATTTGGGTGTGTTTTACTCTGTTGGTGAGTCACTGCCGGTCTTCTGTTTTTAACACTCTCAGCCACACACTCATGATCTCTTCTTTGGTTCCCCCACAGAATAAGGAGTTTGTGTGTCGAGGGCATGACTACGAGAGACTGGAGGCCTTCCAGCAGAGGATGCTCAACGAGTTCCCCCATGCCATTGCCATGCAGCACGCCAATCAGCCCGACGAGACCATCTTCCAGGCAGAGGCTCAGTGTATCCACACTCAGAGGGGTTACCATCCAGTTTGGACCATCTGGCCACCAACTGCACCGCATTTTCATGCAGGGGTGTTCAGCCACTGGATTCTTGCTATTAGTCATCCATTTGGTGCTTCTCTTACTTGTCACCTTAGTTGTAGCAAAACTCCTGCTGAACAGAATCATTCTTTTTATAACCACGTGCCAGCTAAGGAGAAATTCCTATAAAATTCTGATAAAGACTTTTTTTCCTCTTTATTAAGACTTTTCTGTATTTCCATCCTGCTTTTAAAGCTCTTTTCTAGTGGTTGCCCTTAAAATAGCTTTCCTCTGACATGTCCTATGGAAACAACTTCTGTATAGGGAAATGGCATTTTGTTTACTGGCACATGTCATATCGTTCATCCTCTTTTCTGTTGATACTATATTTATAATAGAAGGAGGAAGGGAAGAGAAAGTGGTACCCCAGTATCTTTGGAAATCTCTTGGCGATGGCATCCTGGAAAATCTTTTGTAATTTTACACATATAATCGACACCATCACTAGCTAAACGTAAGAGGCTGCAAAGAAATTCCATAGTCATTGGAGGCACAGAAATTTCATCCCAGTTTTCCTTCTGAATGCATCTTTTACTGAAACTGATTAGCTTAAGAATTATAAATTCCTACTAATTATTATCGATACCTTTTCCCAGTACTAACTGAAATTCTCAGAGAATTCTCTGTTGTGCCAGAGAATAGTACAGCACGGAGAGTGTTATGCTTGCACATGGCCAATGTGAGTTTGATCCCTGGCATCCCATTTCCCTGAGCACTGCCAGGAGTAATTTCTGAGTGCTCGATAGTTACACACCTGGCCTCGGTGCTCACACATTTGTCGTTGTGATGTACACTGGCCATGGCACTTTCCATGTGCCACCAACCTAGAGCCACCAGAGCTTTACTGGCACATGTAGGTGATACTGGGGATCAAACTCATGGCCTCACCTAGCAAACAAATGCCTCTCACCAATGAGCCTTCCCCAGCTCCACCCTCCCCACAACCTTCCTCACTTCTTCACAGCTAAACACAAACCAAACTTCCATAGAATTTGCCAAGTGAGGTTCTCACCTTGACTCTTCAATCCCAGATTTGCAGATCTATGCTGTGACTCCTATTCCAGAAAGCCAGGAGGTCCTGCAGAGAGAAGGTGTTCCAGACAACATCAAAAGTTTCTATAAAGTGAATCACATCTGGAAATTTCGCTATGACAGGCCATTTCACAAAGGCACTAAAGATAAAGAGAACGAATTCAAGGTACAGTACATTTATTACATGCTCTTTCCACAGAATGGAAGCTTCCTGGGGCAAGATTCTTGGTAAATATTTACTCAGATGAGTCAAGTAACAGAATCAGAAGGAGCCATAAGTCATTAATGGTTCCGGGTTTATTTAGCTGTGCATCAAAATGACAAGGTACTCGCCAACACTCTTCACCCTGAGGCCCACAATAGGAACTCTGACTTAATGGTCTAAAAAGAGATTTTGAAATCACCGTACTTTATGATGTTTTAATGTCTGTGGTCTGCAAACCATTCTTAAATCCATGCACGAACTTAGTTTTCTCACTCATTTTGGTTATACCAACTGTGCAAACCTCAAGATGTTTATAGTCAGAGGCAGTAGTGGGTAGGGCGTTTGCCTTGCATGCAGCTGACCTTGGTTTGATCTCCGGCATCCCATATGGTCCTCCAAGCACTGCCAGGAGTAATTCCTGAGTGCAGAGCCAGGTGTAAACCCTTAGCATCGTTGGGTGTGACCCAAAAATGAAAAAAAATAATAATAATTATAATGAACTGGAACAAAGGATTCAATACATGGAGAACAGTTTGCTAGAGCATACTATAGCAGTGGAAAAATTCTGTGCTAGCTTCTGCTGCTTTCTCATATTTGAACCTTGTGTCATTAGAATTTCTGAAGAGGGACTGGAGTGATAGTATAGAGGTTAAGTCTTCTGCTTTACACGTGGGGATCCCACCCTCAACTCCTAGCACTAGATTTGTTTCCCTCAGCACTGTCAGAAGTGATCCCTAAGAAAAAGCCAGGAATAAGGCCTGAGCACTTCTGGGTGTGATCCAAAACAAAAAGAGAAAACCAGCGTAAGAGCAACCCATGGTCTGCGAGTACTGTGCTCTCCGTTTTCAGTAGTTCTAACATGCTTTACTAATTCAGAGCTCTCTTAGCTAGAAAGGGATAAAATTTCTTTCAGTCCTCTGTAAGAAAGGTGCAATGCTGCCCCCACTGTTAATGCTCATCTGGTTTTCTTTGACAGCAGTGATTTACAGAGTCCAGATAGATTCCCCACATGGTGTTTCCCCTCTAAACAAAGAATGAAAATCTAACTTCTTATGTGTGTCTATTGGTTTAGCTGACTTCATTGTAGATAATTCCTCTCTGCTTACGCGAGAATCCTTCTACACTATCCGTAATCATGGTCCAATAGGCATTCACCTGGCCAGCTCCTCCTGGGTCAGTTCCTGTGCAGTTATGCCAAGTGATCACAAGAGGTAGCTCTGTTAGTTGTGTAGCATTGATGGGAATGAACAAAAGGTGTAATGGGTTAAATATTCAGATTTTCTAGTTCTACAAGATACTTGGTTTTTTTTACTATTGAACATCCAAAAAACATTTAACAATGCTGTCCTTTGCAGTAGCATAAGCTTGCAGTGCGTAGAAAATCAAAGCTCCATGAGAGGTAGGAGTTAACTTGTAGGGACTCACAACCTGATTTCTGCCAGACCCAGCAGCCCTGTAACCCATACCTTCTAATACCTTCTCCACTGTTCTCTCTTTGCATCCTCATGGTCATCACTTTAACTGTCAATTACATTAACAATGCCTTATTTAAAAAAAAAAAAAAGCCCAAGGGCCAGAGCAATAGTACTGGGGGTAAGGTGCCTGCCTTGCATATGACTGACCGAGGTTCTATTTCTGGCACCCCATATGGTCCTCTGAGCCTGCCAGGATTGATCTCTGAGTGCAGAGCCACGAGGAACCCCTGAACACTGCCAGGTGTGGTTCAAACACCAAATTAAACCAACCAACAAACAACAACAGCAAAAACATAGTCTTACAAAGCCAGAGCAATGGTACAGTGGGTTGGCTGCCTGCCTTATATGCAGCCAGTCTGGTTCAGTCTACTGCGATTTCCGAGCATCACCACCATGATTAGTCCCTGAGCATCCTTGGGTGCTCCAAAACACTGTAGCACTGTAGCACTGTCCTCCCGTTGTTGATCAGTTTGCTTAAGCAGGCACCAGTAACGTCTCCATTTTGAGACTTGTTGTTACTGTTTTTGGCATATCGTATATGCCATAGGGAGCTTTCCTGGCTCTGCCGTGCGGGCGGGATACTCTCAGTAGCTTCCCAGGCTCTCCTAGAGGGACAAAGGAATCAAACCCGGGTTGGCCGCATGCAAGGCAAATACCCTACCCGCTGTGCTATCAATCCAGCTCCAAAACAAAACAACAAAAAGTAAATTTCAAAAAATCTGGCTTATTACTCCAATGCTCACAGCTCTCCGTCTCTGTCCCCTAACTGTTCCTCTAGAAGTTTCTGCCAGTCGCTCGCCCACCCTCCCTCCCCACTTCACCAGCACTAAACTTCCTCCATCTCTTGCCGTGCCCTTTCACAAGCCTCTCCGTGTCTGCGCCTCCGGCTTCCTGCCGCCTGCCTGCTGCCCCCGCTCTCCGCCTGGCAGACTCCTACTCGCTCTTGAGAATTCCACTCACATGGCACCTCTGTGAAAAGAGCTGGCCTCCTCCCACAGTGCGGCGTGGGCCTTCTTCTGCCACCCCTCAGCACCTTGAGCATGCCTTTCTCCGCACCCCACCCCCTTACTCACCTGCTCTCGCGGCCTCCCCGCCACCCCCAGACCACTTAAGACTTCTGTCACAGAGGCAGTGCCCTATTTATTTCAGATTAGTGGCAAGTACAGGGATACAGGCTCATTGGCGGGGTGGGAGGTGGGGGCAATGTAGTGGAATACATGATCCTATTTTAGGAGTTTGGGTAAAGTCTGTCAACTTGTTGTGGATATATCTTGCTTAAATCAGAAAAGTGAGGCATTGACACTGAAGTCTGGTTGACGAAGGAGAAGCCCGGTAGCAGCAGCTCTTGGTGAAAGACATCATGCACTCACCACAAGGGGACCAGTGCGGGTTAAGGCCATTCAGCTGGGACCAAAACAGTGTGGACATGGAACAAGCAGGGAGATATCAGAAGTTTGATTTATGTTTTTAGGATCGATTTTAGTTTAGACAGATGGTTATAATAGCATTAACGTGCACGGTATAAATGCACAATAACAGCACCTCACCATCACCACGGTACCCTACCAACTGTCACCTCTAGCGCAGTGTTCGGAAGTTCTACAGTATGAATTTCTGATGCCAACTCTCCAGGGACCTAGAATACAGCCTTGAGCAGGGCCCGTTGCCTCTGTGAGGCTTACGATCCTCACCTTTCAGAAAGAAAGATCAAGCTCTGTGATTTCTTTAGGATTATGTTATTCTAATCCTATGTTGATTAGCAGATACTGTTACCCCTGACAGATAAAACTGGCTAAACCCCAAGAAGTGAAGACAGTCTAATTTAAACTGTTCCAGAGAAATAGTGGAGAAAATAAAAAGATGGCCTCGGTTTTATATATTTTTAAGCTTTCTATCTAAAATAGATCACTTGTTCCCCACAGAAGAATATTTCGGATGGGACGATATACAATGGAATGATTAGCATAAGCTTTAGCAGTATCTTACTGTGATAGCTCCGTGAGGGAGAAGGGATTTCCAGCGTGCTAGAATGAATACTGCAGACAAGCCCACAGAATCCAGCAAAACTGGATAAAAGGCAATAGTAAACATTAGTCATAGCTCACTAGCTGGAAAGAAGGTCAACTTGGGGGACTTAATTTGTTTTGTGTTTTATAGAGTCTCTGGGTAGAGAGAACGTCATTATATTTGGTGCAGAGTTTACCTGGAATTTCCCGCTGGTTTGAAGTGGAGAAGCGTGAAGTGGTAAGCATCACAGCTTATTCTCAAGTATTTTCTTATCCCAGTTGTTTACCTGGAGTCGTGCTGTCTACAAATTGCTTCTGTTTTTGACTCAAAGTCCCTGAAAATACTCATAGTCAGTTGGTGAATATTTATGATAGTGACTTCTCCCAGCATATGAAAGAGGGACCATTATTTTTATTATCCTGGTCCATCCAGTAGGATTCCTCAGAAGGATTGTTAACATAAGCAATTTGGGGTCCTTTATATTTTTCAATTGTTGAGGTAACATGGTTATAATAATATTTACATTTAAAGTTTGATGTATAAAGTTATTGCACTTTCACCACCACCAAAATGCCCAAGACCCTACTTATATCACATCTTCCATCCCCTCTGCACCCCTCCGCTTGTAATCTCAATTTTGTAATCCAGGCCCACGGATCTGTCATCATTCATTACTGCTTGGTCCCTTGTCTTGCTTCATTAAATAGCACTGAGTCAACTTGTTTCTTTAGTTAGGAGGCTTAGAATTCCTGTTCCTTTGGTCACTCTAGCTGTGTGACCTCGTGCTTACTGTGTGTCCAACCAATGCAAGAAGGTTACTTCCATTATCTCATATCAGTCATTACAGTATCGAAGCTACGAAGTATATAAAGGCTCTCTTTTTTGTTGTTGTGGGGAGAGTAAGTCATTCCTGGCAATGCTTAGGGGCTGTTTCTGACTCTCCTCAAAGCACTCCCGGCATTGGTCAAGGGACCATTTCTGGGGCTTGAACTGTGTTCTGGACAAGTGCCTTGGGGCCAAAACGATAGTACAGCAGGTAGGGCATTTGCCTTCCAGATGACTGACCCGGGTTCAATCCCCAACATCCCATATGGTCCCCCATGTACCGCCAGGAGTAATTCCTGAGTATAGAGCCAGAAGTAACCCATGACCATCGCTGGATGTAACCCAAAAAGCTGTCCCTGTCATCCCTGTCACTGTCCCTGTCCTCCCATTGTCCATCAATTTGCTTGAGCGGGCCCAGTAACGTCTCCATTGTGAAACTTTGTAGTTGTGGACTGTGTTTGGCATATCAAATACATCATGGGAGCTTGCCAGGCTTTGCCGTGCAGGCGAGATACTCTAGGTAGCTTGCCGGGCCCTCCGAGAGGGGCGGAGGAATCGAACTCAGGTCAGCCATGTTGGCCGCTTGCAAGGCAAACGCCCTACCCACTGCACTATCGTTCCAGCCCAAAAAGCAAAAAAAATACAAATGCCTAAACCGTTGTTCTATCTCTCCAGTCCCCAAAAAGGTCTATTTTCATATACCTATTTTCCCTTTTTGGGCTGGAACGATAGCATAGCAGTAGGGTGTTCGCCTTACAAGCGGCCAACATGGCCGACCCGAGTTCAATTCCTCCGCCCCTCTCAGAGAGCCCAGCAAGCTATTGAGAGTATCTCGCCGGCATGGCAGAGCCTGGCAAGCTACCCGTGATGTATTCGATATGCCAAATACAGTAACAACAAGTCTCATGATGGAGACGTTACTGGGCCCGCTCGAGCAAATCGATGAACAATGGGCGGACCATGTCTACCAACATTTTCCCTTTTTAGCAAGAGGTTCAGTGCTTTTATCAGATCAGTGAAACATATTGAAAAAAAGGAATGACTTGGGCCCCACTTTTTCAAACATCCAAATCAGTTATATTCTTCTCTCTGGGCCCCAGTTTCCTCGTTGGAACATGAGGCTAATACAGAACCTCAGTGTGGTGCACAGTAGGTTTAGACAGTGACCCAAAGAAGGGATGCTGGGGGTGGTCATTCACACTATGTGCTCCTGGGTGCACACCAGCTGGTGAGCAGTAGGTGCTATTAGAGAATGACTCCCCAGTGGCCTCTGGACTCGAATATTCTCCTGGAGCTTCAGCAAGGACCACAGTGGCCAGAGGCAGCCACTGTAGGCTGGGACCTCTCCCTCCCCCACTGCCTCTCACTGCTTCCTCTCCTCCACAGTAACCTGTGCTGAACTTGCAGCTGACAGCAGCTTGTTGTCCCTTTTTCCTCCCTTGTCTGGTCCATTCTGGATGAACCAACCCTTCAGTGGTCAGAACACTCTGATAGAAAAAGTGCCTGGAGCTATAGAGCACAGTGGGTAGGGCATTTGCCTTGCACACAGCCAACCTGGGTTCGATTCCCAGCATCCCATATGGTATCCCGAGCACCGCCAGGAGTAATTCCTGAGTGCAAAGCCAGGAGTAAACCCTGAGCATCCCTAGGTGTGACCCAAAAAGAAAAAGAAAAAAAATCAAAAGAAGCGAAAAGAAAAGAGACCCAAAGTGAAATGATTGCTTAACCCCTCCTGCTTTAAACTAAGTAAAGCTGCCTTTGTGGGTGAGTAAAGAGCAGCTCCTGCCCAGGCTCTTTCCCAGGACTGGGTTGTCCTACCTGAAATCTCTCTAAACATGGAACCCCTCCTCAGCTTACCGTGCTCAGGTAAGCTAAGAGTTGAATGGAAGTTTTGCCTGAGTCCAGTATGTTGGCATCCACACGCTTGGTGTTCTTCTACAGGCTGAGTGAGGGGCTCTAGCGCTGCTGGCTACTGTCCTGTACAAGGATAGAGGAAGAGAGACTGCTAACCCCGCTCTCAGAAAGGCTTATTGTTATGCTTCCTGCTGAGTGGTATGGGCACAGCCCACAGAAATGTTCTTAGTCATCCCTCCTGCATTAATGAGTCAGAGCCTTTGGAGCCACTTACTACCCATAGTGTTAAATTCTGTGAGGTCTTACTTTCAAATATCACACAGATACAGCCCACTAATAAAAAATGTAGCATGCTGCTAATGTTTAGCACTACTAAACACAGCCTTTCAAATATCAGCTGCCTACTTTATTAGAATGTACACTCGTAGATGCTGCCGAACAGAACATCTCAAACTGGGCTGCTTTGTTCTCTGAACGCAGCCCACACCTTCGAAGCTGTGTCTTTGTCCTTTTCCCCCTGCCTGGAATGTCCCCACCTTCTATTAAAGGTGCGGGCTTTCTTCTTTCATTCTAGTGTAGAAGGAGACCAGGGGCACATAGTAGGTACCCAGGAAGTTTGTGCTAAATGGAATGTAAATTACTGTGTACAAAGCAATACTTGAAAAGATTTTGAAAACCAAAAAAGTGTTACATAATTTTGACAAGATTCAAATAGATGATAAATCTACATGACCTGCTTTGATCGTATGACTTGCCATTTATGATCTTTATTTCAGTGTGATTATTCATCTTTTATATAGAACTATTAACCCATTTGATTAAAGACAGTTTCCCCAGACCTGGCTTGTAAGTTACATTATATGCTTTATAGTACATTATACATCACTTTTCAAAATTTTGAGACACGTGGCACTGATGATTTTAGATAAGATTGTGAACATTTATTTTCTAAATCATAACCCAAGGATATATTCTCCTTTTCTTTTTTTAAAAAAAATACAATTGGTCTAAGATAGTTGCAGTAGAGTTTACGGATTGACGTTACTGCAGATTCACCACCGAAGTGCTCAAATCCCTCCACCACTGTCCTTCTCTCATCTCTGGGCCAGTCATCATCCCTCACCTCCCCTCCCGCACTGCTTGGTAAACTGAGTTTTGTGATCCAAGACCAAAGTTTGTCCTTACAAAACTCAGATTATCAAGAAGTGGGAAGAGAGGTGGGTAGGATGCTAATTGGACTAGGAAGAGTGGTGGTGGTCTCAGGCACTTAGGCGGTAATAGATGCAGTAATTTTGTATGTCAATGCCATAAACTTATCTCTGTATAATCATCTTATATAATATGGTGGGATACTCTATTCCTTTTTTATTATTATTCCTTGTTTTATCTCTATGTTCCACAGATAAGGGAGATCATTCACACTATTCTTCAACAAAAGTAGTATCTTTGAAATGCTTTCTCAGGAGTCATTTATATTGTTTTCAAAGCATTCCCCTTCCCCCCTTGGTAAGCTCATTTTAAAAAAAATAAACATTAAGCAATATTTGGGCCAGAGAGATATTACAATAAACAAAACACTTGCCTTGCACATAGCTGACCTAGATTTGATCCCTGGCATTGCATATGGTCCCTGAGCCCCACCAGGAGTGATCCTTGAGCACCACTGGGTATGGGGCTCAAAAACAAACAAAATTCTTAAGAAGTTTTAAATTCATAAAATGGACAATACTATGAGTTTTGAATTTCAGTTAAGGGTTAAGAGAATATTATTATACCGCACCTCATATACATCAGAAAATTGAGGAGACAAAAAAAATAGTACAGAGGTTAAAGGCTCTTATTTTGCAATTGCATTTGGATTTCAACCCCCACACCAACCATAAGCACAGAGCCAGAAGTAAGCCCCAAACACTACCAGCTATGGTAGTGGTTGAAGTTACAACCCTCTACCCTCCTTTCAAAAAAATTTAAAAAAGAAAAAAAAACCCACCCCAGACAGAAAATAGTGATACCCTATTTTCAAAATATATCCAGAAGCCAACCACTCTTTCCCCTCTTACCTCCACTGATGTTACCATCTAGACTCTTAAGATTGATCCTCCTAAGTGTAGCCTTACTGAAGCCCATGATATCCTGCCACAAGTGCTAGAGTCCTTTTAAAATTTTTGATAGTGATTAAAAATAAAGAAAATACATATGAACCTGTGATTTTATTTCAACCACTACCAAAAAATGCCAACTTTGTCTCATCTGCATTTCTATTTCATTCTTTTCTGGATTATTTTGAAATAAATCTATTTTGAGATCTTAATCTATAAATATTTCAGTATGTATTATAACTAAAAATCCCACAGTATCACAAATAAACAAAGTCAACAACTCTGACTATAAAATATCTACTTGGGGCTGGAGCAATAGCACAGTGGGTAGGGCATTTGCTTTGCATGCAGCAGACCTGGTTTGATTTCCAGCTTCCCTTATGGTCCCCCCGAGCACCACCAGGAATGATTCCTGAGTACAGAACCAGGAGTAACCCCTGTACATATATATATATATATATATATATATATATATATATATATATATATACTAACTCCCTTCATAAATAGCCAGAGGATTTTGTCTGTTTGGCTTTGTTGTTAACTCATAGATTTAAACGTACTTGGTGTTTTCCCCTTCCATTGCAATTTTCAAATTCTTCCACTTTGCAAACTGGGAACTTCTCCAAACTGACCACCGAGTTTTTTCACAGTATCCAAGCGTTCTTTGTTACTAACATAGAGTAACATACAAAGAATTATCCAACTTCTGAAGGAAGTTCCCATGAATTCTTCATTTGTTGACTGTAAACAACACTTGGCTGGGACTTCCTGCTAAGGGCATGGCATCACTTCTTTCTATGAACTGTTAGTCTATTTATTTGGAGGTTTAAGTAATGAGAAGATGTCTTATCTTATTCATCCCTGTCTTCTCTCCTGTTTCTTATGGCTGCTCCTCTCTGTAAAGAGTGAAGGGCTGCCTGGGCTGCTTTCATGTTGTCCTCCAGGCTAACTAACTTCCTTACTACTGTGACTAGAAAGTCCAAGTTCTCTTATTTCAATCGCCTGCCCATGATGTCAGTGGGTCCCCCGGGTGGCCTTTATGAAGTGGGAAGGAGAAATTGGTTACTTTCTCCCAATCCGCCTCTGCCACCCGGGACCCAGGGTTACTGGGTTCTTGTCTGGCTCACTCACAGAAAGGAATTTCAGGAGTAGACAAGCAGTGAAATAAAATAGATTTTATTTGGAGGGTTTTTGAAGTGTGTGTGTCTGGGAGAGAGAGAGGGAGAAAGAGAGAGAGAGAGAGAGAGAGAGAGAGAATAACACACTCAAAAGAGAACGCGGGCTTCTCCAACAGTGGAAAGAGCCCCTACATACATCCCAGCATTATACACGAAAGCATAAAAATACACATCTCAAGAGGGGAGACGTGGACAAGACATGTGCTCAGACACCACATGTGCTCGGCCATGCGGGTGAAAGCAATCTATGCACTCCCTTCCTTTATTCAAGGTGGCTTTTATAGGCTCTTCTTTGGTTGTCTTGATCCAAAAGTTCAGGAGTCTTCTTGGGGCTGAATCCCTAAAGTTAATCGGTTAAGATAGTGGTCCAAAGGTTTGAGGAACTTGATGGGGAAGGGTCCAGTCTCCTCAGGGTCCACTGCAGAAGGTCTTATCAGGTCTCTGTCTTCCGTATCCATAGGGTGGATCAGTCTTAGAATTTTCCTCCCAGAAGTTTTGCTGACCTCAGTTTCATTGCCAGGGCCTTTTACTGTCTACCTGCCTACATCACCCAGACCTGAATGTAACTGTTTCTCCCGTGACTCCGCCTGTTTCTACTTAGTGCCATTGCCAATGAGTTTATGCCCAGAAGCTCAGGACTGGTTTAGTAGTTAGATCTCCCAGGGCTTCCACAGTAATGCCCACCACAGGCAGCTGCAAAGCAGCATGACTTCTTCCCAGCCTCCACCCTGGTCTTAGATTCTTGGCTTTTGTCAGAGAAAAGAATTTCAAGACAAAAGAGTGAAGTACATAGTGTGTGGAGAATGGGACTTCTTTTTTTTTTTATTTTATTGAATCACCATAAGATATTGTTACAAGCTTTCATGTTTGGGTTACAATCACACAATGATCAAACACCCATATCTCCACCAGTGCACATTCCCCACCACCAACCTCCCCAGTATACCCCTCTTACCCACCCTTCCCCTGCCTCCATGGCAGACAGTATTCCCCATATTCTCTCTCTGCTTTTGGGCATTATGGTTTGCAATACAGGCACTGAGAGATCATCATGTTTGGTCCATTATCTACTCATTTTCTTAGTGATCCCAAGAATGGGACTTCTTGAGCGACCCCAAGGCAAAGGAAATTTAGCATCTTTAAGTGTGAAATGGAAGCATGGGCAACTCTAGGATGGAGTCCTCTGAACTGCTGTGGGAAATGGATTACAATTTTCCCCAAGCTATGCCTCAACCTGGACTCTCTACATATGAGTCATTGCCAGGGCTTGTCAAAGAGAAAGACTTTTGTGGCGGGGTTTTCATTCTGTCTGTCTTGTCTTGTCAAAGCATGTTTCTGCCTATGAATTGATTCAGTACAACGGTTGGCCTTCATCCTGAGCTGGCAGCAGAATGATTCCTTTTGATAATGTATCTCATGTCCCCAAATATTTCTTATCTTGGCTTTTTGCTCTCCAGAATTTCCTTGGTTGTGTGGCTTCCTGAAATTTGCTCCCTACCTGACTGCCTACCTCAGAGGCAAACAGTATGTAAAGGTCATAAACAATCTGGAGACTAGAGAGAAATCATTTTTTGATGAGCATTTTGTTATCTGCATCAATCTTCACATACCTCTGTGGCCATCTCTTTAGAATAATTTCTCAGAAGTGAATTGATAAAGGGTCCCCAATTTACCTTTGATTCATAGATCAGCAAATGATTACTTGATGCTCTCTTGGATGCAGTAACTTGTCTTGAAAATACCCATTTTTTCCCAGCATCTCCCAAACTATGATTTTTATGTTATTCTTTGTCCTTACAAATAACACAAAAAAATTGTGAAGATTGATTTGGGGGGGTTTTGTTTGCTTCAGGTTTGGTTTGGTTTGAGGGCCACATTCGTGAGTCCTTAGGACTTGCTCCTGCCTTTTTGCTAAGGGGTCTGTCCCAGTAATGCATGGGAGACCTTGCACTGCTGAGAATCAAAAAGTGGGCTTCCTGCATGCAAAACTTGCACTCAGCCCATTGAACTGTCTCTGCCTTATTGTTTGGCTATTTGCTTTATTTCATATCGATTTATATGAGTTCTTTGGGCTGGAGCGATAGCACAGCGGTAGGGCGTTTGCCTTGCACACAGCCAACATGGCTGACCCGAGTTCGATTCCTCCGCCCCTCTCGGAGAGCCCGGCAAGCTACTGAGAGTATCTCGCCCGCACGGCAGAGCCTGGCAAGCTCCCCGTGACGTATTCGATATGCCAAACACAGTAACAACAAAGTCTCCAATGGAGACGTTAGTGGGCCTGCTCGAGCAAATCGATGATCAACGGAAGGGCCTTTATATGAGTTCTTTATGTGATCTAAATAGAATCTCCTTGATGATTTCACACGCCTTTACTTTCTCCTTATAGTGCCTTTGAATGAATGTACCTTCTCAGTGTTGATACAAAGTATTCTAACACATTTCAGTGTTAATGCAGATAATCCTAAGTGACCTTTGAAATCTGTGCTTTGTTTTCTTAACAAAAAGAAGGATATTTAAGTGTACTTAATTGTAAATTTGACTTTCCTGCAGAGAGCCACAAAAACCTTCTCTTGGAAGAGAATGTCAATGACAGTCATAATGTCATACATTAGAAGAACACCTTCATCAGTTCCACAATTAAGTTCCCCATGCAGCCCATCATTTTAAGTCATTATCATACTTTTTTGGCTCTCCCTCAGAACCTGAGGCATCAATGATGATCTTATTTTCTGTAACTCCTAACTGTGTGTCCCATCCTGTGATACCGTATGGTGTGGTTCTATATGCATATGGGGTCCATATGGGCATGTGTCCCATCATCCCAGCTGGATCTTGACACCTGATGACCTGTAAATGCATCTTTTTATTATGACGCTTTGCTTCAAGTAAGCATCTGGAAAGGTGATAATAATATACAGGGTCCCTGAAGATGTAACACTTCAAAAGAAAACAAGAGACAGGTTTTTTAAGACATGAAGATTTTCTCTGAAGTATTAAAGTGATCATTGTAGTGCTAATGTCGAGTTGATTATCCAAATCACATTTCAACCAATGAGTGTAATCATGTTTTCATTTCAGACCTGCCTAGTGATCAGATAATTTGTCTTTCCCATCCTTATCTGTTGTCTGGGATGGCCCCTGGTAGAGATACTGATGAGAGCCACAGGGGAGCACAGATAATTCAGAACTTAGATAATCTTTGTCCTTCTTCTTAAATGTCACAAAATCCAATATATATTTATACTCATTTGCTTCACAGGTAGAAATGAGCCCTCTGGAAAATGCAATTGAAGTGTTGGAAAATAAGAATCAGCAGTTAAAGACTCTGATAACTCAGTGTCAAACCAGACAGATGCAGAATATTAATCCCCTCACTATGTGCCTGAATGGAGTTATAGACGCTGCGGTTAATGGAGGAGTTTCCAGGTATCAAGAGGTGAGGCTATTAGGTGTTGTTGTTTGAAAGTTTCCAGATAATGATTTCTTAGGAGTTCAGAACATCTTTCTTTCAACATAAAAACACATCAGCTGTATAATCGAAACCCGAACACAAAAAATTGTAAAACTACAACTGTACCTCATGGTGTTTCACTAATAAAAGTTAAAAAAAAAAAATCAGCATGCAAAGTTCGGACTAACATGGACACCGAGTCATTGCTGAATAAAGCAAACACACCATCATTTGTGATGCACCTTCATCCACCTCATATTATAGGATAATTTTGCTATTTTATTTATTTTTTAAATTTTTTAATTGATTGATTTAAATTTACAACACTGTTAAACTTGTTTTCATGTGCACGTAATTCCAATACCACACTCATGACCAGTTTAGCCGTCTGATTCCCCCAAGGCCCCTTCTTTTGAGGTCTGTGACTCAGTTCTCCCATTGTTGCCTTTGGCCCTTTTTTGCTACATTGTTGTGTATCTTACACATCTGAGAGAGGTGATATGAATCTAAACCTTTCCTTCTGATTGACTTCACTCAGTCTGAAAACCTCTGTTTCCATCCATGTCGGGGCAAATTACATAATTTTGTCCTTTCTTAGATTTGCATAGAATTCTGTTGTATATGTACCACAACTTTTTGATCCATTAATCTGTAGTTGGGATTTGGGTTGCTTCCATAATGGGATATATTATGGGTTAAAAGTATGTTTATTTTATTAGATGGAGTATTGAGAATATAAATATTGTTGTACTGAGGGTATCAATATTGTTTAATAAATGTTACCTCAAGTAATTTCCTTGAACAAAGAGGTTCATAGTTAATGATGCATAATGAATGGTGTTGTTCCTATTTAAATGACAGGTCTTTATTATTATTGTTAGGGGGTGTTGAGACTTGAGCCATAACCAGTGGTGCTCAAGGGGTCACTTCTGGCTGATACACTCAGAAGACCATATGTAGTCTTGAGGACTAAATACATGTAAAGCCAGAACCTTAGCTGCTATATTGTCTCACCAGCCCCCCAAATACGTGATCTTTAAAAACCAACTCTTTAATTTCCTTTGTATATACTGAAGTATGCTGACTATCCCTTCCTTTCCTAGGCATTCTTTGCCAAAGATTATATCTTAAGTCATCCTGAAGATGGAGAGAAAATTGCACGGTTAAGAGAGCTAATGCTTGAGCAGGTAAGATAAGCAAAAGCCAATCCCCTTCTCCCTCCTGGAAGGACAGATGCTTGTCTGTGTAGCTACCTATGTAAGTGATTTAATCAAAACTGACAGTCAGGATTATAGCTTCATGTTCAGTCTATCAGAGTTTCCTAAAAATTCCACTTGTCCACCCACTTTGATGCAAAATAAATGTAATAATGTACAGATTATGGCAGCCACTTATAACAAGCAACTTTATATAGTTTCTTCCAGTGCCCTTTGAACTCTCACTGAAGACTGTAGTATTGAGGCCAACTTTTCCTAAAGATTTGGGGTTCAAATAAAGTAAAAAAATAGGAGACTAACACCCAAGAGTTGCCAGGATTAGTACCAGGAGGTTTGCTCCATGACTTGGAGGCCAACCACACATGCTAGGGGAAAAGGGAGCTCAGATAGAGAAGGGAGCACTAAATAAAGGGTGTTGGGAGGATCCTCCCAGGATGGGAGAAGGATGCTGAAAGTAGACTATAGACCAAACATGATTGCCACCCAGTGCCTCTTTTGCAAACCACAACACCCAAGAGGAGAGAGAAAACAAAAGGGAATGCCCTGCCACAGAGGCAGCGGGGGATGGTGAGGATGGGGGGGTGGGAGGAATACCGGGATCTGTGATGGTGGGAAATGGGCACTGGTGGGGGGATGAGTATTTGATCATTGTACATTTGAAACCCAAGCACAAAAATTTGTAAGTCTACAACTGTACCTCATGGTGTCTCACTAATAAAAATTTTAAAAAATTTAAAAATTGGGGGTTCAAGTAGGTACAAGTGAATGTAAGACAAAGGAATAAATTTATTCATAAATAAGTGAATGAGATTCTTACTAAGTTATTCATAAAAAGTGAGATTCTTACTTTATATAGCATATATTATAATAAGCAACTGAGTAATCAATACTTTGCTTTAAAACAATATCCTGTTTCACAGACCAAGTCTACAGGTTATATGTTGTTGTCAAACTAGATGCAACTTCATTTTTTTTGTTGTTGTTTGAGGTTTTTAGGGGGTGTTGGCGGTGGATAGAGTGCCCACAACTAGTGTTCAGGGGTCTTCTCAGTGATTTGTGGCCAACCAGGCTAGTGCTTCAGGACTAAGACCTGAGCCTTTAATGCAACAGCAGTTCAGGAATAGTCCAGGAGTTGCAGTGATGCTGGAGGCCACCACACCAAGCACCACCAGGACCGCCATGTAGAGCATGGAGGCCTGCCCCACAACCTCATTTTTTTCAACTCCAAAGAAGTATGGTTTAGGCACAGGGATGCATGCCTCTTATGTCTTGAGTAGCTGGGTCTGACCCTCAGCATCACCATCCAACAAAAAGAAGAGAAAGAGTTTATTCTCATTTTCTTCTGTCAAGTCTCAATAACTGGAGTTAGTAACTTCCTGCCTGTGATGTCTCTATCGACAGCTTTTAGCCAGAAAAATGGTTTGAAAGCCTCTGAAACAGAAGTGAGGTGACTCAGATGAAACTTTCTGGCTATGTATTGCTGAACAAAGAAAATTTGAATGTTTATGTTTATCTTGTTAATAAACATAGTCTGTAAAACAAGTTATTTTTTTATCTTTTTTTTATTAGTGAAACACCATGAGGTACAGTTATAGACTTATAAATGTTTGTGCTTGGGTTTCAGTTATACAATGATCAAGAACCCATCCCTCCACCAGTGCCCATCCTCCCCCACCACGCGTCCTAGCATCCCTCCCACCCCCCATCCCCCCCATCCCACCCTGCCGCTGTGGCAGGGCATTCCCCCTTGTTCTCTCTCTCTTCTTTTGGGTACTGGCTTTTTGAATCAGAATAATATTTTTTAACAAAAAATCAGAAGTATAGCAACTGATTAAGAATTCCAGGTTCAGGGAGAAATAGTACAGCGGATAGGGCATTTGACTTGCACATGGCCAACCAAGGTTCAATTCTGTATTGTACCTCAAGCACTGCCAAGAGAAATTACTGAGCATAGAGCCAGGTGTATTGCCAAGTGTAGCCCAAAAAACCCTCCCCTAAGAAAGTATTCTAGGTTCACTTTTCCCTTCTTCTCTAACAGACTAAAAATCTGAAAGAGGAATGGATGGGCAGAAGAAAAACCTGATAAGTTAAGGGCAATTGGGCAAACATGATGCGATCCAGAAAACATAGTCCTAGGGAGAAACATCTGGCCTTGTTAATAGGGAAGAGCTCTCTCACACACACACACATACACACACACACACACATACACACACACACACACACACACACACACTCCATCTTCTCCATCCCATCTAGGAAACACAAAGGGGAGTCAATGCAACAACATAACTTTATTTTTTTTCCTTTTTTAAAATTGAACCGCCATGAATTACAAAGTCACGAGGTTATTCATAATTGAGTTTCAGGTACACAGTGTTCCAATACCAACCCCTTCACCAGCCACCAATGTCTCCACTTTCTCTCCCATTGCCTCCCACCCTTAGCCTGCCTCTATGGTGGGCACTTTTTTCTTTTTCTTTTTTCCTTTTAGGCACTGTGCTTTACAATACTGTTACTGGAAAGGTATCGTGCATGTCACTTTACCTCCTTTCAGATCTTAATACTCATCCAGAGTGACTACTTCCCTCAGTCATTGTCGTAGTGGCCGATTCCCTGACTTATCCCACCTGCTCCCCATCTTTAAATGGATTGTTATTGGGGCCCGAGAGATTATAGCAATTAAGGTGTTTGCCGTGTACCCGACTGACCTGGGTTTCCTTCCCCAACATCCCACCAGGTCCCCCTCAGCACCGCCAGAGTTGATTCTTGAGAGCACTGCAAAGAGTAAGCCCTGAGCATTGCTGGGTGTGGCCAAAAAACAAACAAACAATATAAATAAAAATAAGATAAAAGGATTGATATTATAGACCTGAAATCTCTAGGAAAGTAGTTGAAAACTCAGTTTCGGAATCAGAGAGACTTATAGTCAGAACCATATTCATCTTGTGAGCATGCATGAGTTCCAGCTCTTCAGTCATCTCACCTGCAACTCAATCTTTGTTCCTCTTTTGTCCCATTGAGAGGATCAGCAATGATCCATGTAAGATTCAAGGGTGTAGGCTTGACAGGTAGCAAGCACTTGTTGGAGGTACTCATTGATGTGAATATTTTTCCCTTGTATTATTATCAAGGCACAAATTTTAGAATTCGGTTTGGCCGTGCACGAGAAGTTCGTACCTCAAGATATGAGACCCCTTCACAAAAAGCTGGTGGACCAGTTCTTTGTGATGAAGTCGAGTTTAGGGATACAGGTAAGTACACTAAATGTCCATAAGGGGGCAGTCTGACCATTGCCGTTCGCTTTTTGTTAAAAGGACAATGAAGTATCCAATAGTGACATCTTTTGGTTTTTCTATCAAACTGCACCATTTTACCAAGAGTCCTCAAATCTTAAGGGACTGGAGAAATAGTACAGCTGGTAGAATGTCTACCTTGCACACAGCCTACCCGGGTTCAGTCTCTCACATTCCATATGGTCCCCTGAGCACCACCAGGAATAATTCCTGAGTGCATAGCCAGGAGTAACCCCTGAGCAGCACCAGGTGTGGCCCAAACACCAAAGGCCCAAACACCAAAACAAACAACAAAAACAGTACTAACATTACCTTTCATGGAAATTGAAAAACTAACGAGAGGAAGCCTACTGCTGAAACATTCTTTTTAATAGGTCCCTGTGTAAAAGTTTCATGACAATCAAAATGTGTATCTAATTAACTAAAATATCGCATAAGTTAATTTGCCCATATAATTACCCATCTAAAATATTTTCACTACTACGTTTTAGGAGTTCTCTGCTTGTATACAAGCCAGTCCAGTCCATTTTCCTAATGGGAGTCCTCGGGTGTGTAGGAACTCAGCACCTGCTTCTATGAGCCCAGATGGTAGCAGGGTAATTCCTAGACGCAGGTAAGTCATATTCTGAATTATCTGACAATTTGGCATTCCCACAACATGATCTGGGATGATTCTTTCATTCTTTATGGCACAGTTTGTCAAATATGCTATTTCTTAATGAAATAATTAACCCGCGAGGCAGCTGCAGACAGCTGCCACTGGTAAAACAGCAACAGCATGAGAAACAAATAGACTCAAACATTTGATTATATTGAGGCAAACAGGAGACAACAAAATGGGATGTCTATTTTTTTTTCCTTTGGTTTTATACCATGCCAGCATGTGATGAAGTACAATTCAGAGACTGAGTTAACGACCATTTTTTTCCCCCGAAACAGCCCATTAAGTTACCCAGCTGTCAACCGATATTCTTCCTCCTCATTGTCCTCTCAAGCTTCTGCTGAAGTAAGCAATATTACAGGGCAATCAGAAAGCTCTGATGAAGTCTTTAACATGCAGGTACTTGATTAGCTTTTTGTCTGGGTGTGTTTATTCCTTTTCTGTCTCAATCCGAGAGTTACTGTTCTCTCTGCGGTGCTAATGAACAGACCTACCAGCAAGAACTTGCCTTAAGGACAAACCTTTAAGCCTTTATTGCTTTCCTGGTCACTGGAGTTTACAAAGATTTTTCTTTCAAAATCCCCTCCTCCACACCACCCTCCATACCCATCACACTAAGACCAGCCCTGGGGAAGCCTGGCAAACTGTGGGGTTAGCTGTGAGACCTGCTTCTCATTTGCTTCTTTATTCTAGGACTCCTAGAACTTCTCACCACATGCTTGCAGCTGCCCTTAATACCCCTAAACAGTCTTTTAAAAAAGAAGAGTTGGGGGGTAAAATATTTTTAAAAGAAGAGTTGGTGTGGGGTTGGAGCGATAGCACGGCGGGTAGGGCATTTACCCGGCATGCGCCCGACCAGGGTTCAATTCCCAGCATCCCATATGGTCCCCCAAGCACCGCCAGGAGTAATTCCTGAGTGCAGAGCCAAAAGTAACCCCTGAGCATCGCCAAGTATGACCCAAAAAGCCCCCCGTTCCACCCCCAAAAAATGATTTGGTGTTAGAAAATTAATAAAACACTTGCAACCAGAATATTTTTTCAGACTCTGCTAATAAGTATTGATAAGCGTTCAGTAAGATGAAGCTAAAACTTTCTTTACCACCATCTTTGGAAAAGAATTGCCAGATTATGCTTCTGACACGTTTTGGAGAAAATGCAGAGATTGGTTCTCTTCCTTTTTAGAAGCATGCAGCTATTTCAGTGCCCTGGGCTGGGAATATCCCAGCGTGGACTGTAGTCAGGGAGTGAGCTGATGGGTCCCACGTCGCAGGAAGCAGGCCAACCTGGCGCCACAGCATTCCTTTGGCAGGATTCACACTCAGCTCCTTGATTAACTCACGTAGGCCTCCTCAGCATTGCGAGTTAGTGCACTTTTCCTGTACTTTTAAGTGGAATTTTTTTCTTGTGTTGATAACTTGAGAATAAATGTTAGTGGTTTTGTTTCTGGTGTGCCGGGGCTGGGGGGGGGGGGACCCTTCTAAGCACTGTATGCTAAAGGCATCCCTCTATTCCAGCCAAGTCCATCTACCTCAAGCTTGAGTTCCACTCACTCCGCTTCGCCTAATGTGACGAGTTCCGCGCCCTCGAGTGCCAGAGGTCAGTGGCAGGATATGGGGTAGACTGGGGGTTCTCAGCACCTCCCAGCCAGGAGCCATGGCCCCTGGCTTCAGTTGGCTGAGCTGTGACTGTCACTTGGTTCTCTGCTCCTCACAGCGCCGTGCCAGTGATCCTCTGTCCTTCTCTCCCCAGCTTCTCCCTTGTTGTCAGACAAACACAAACATTCCAGAGAAAACGCTTGTCTGTCCCCCAGAGAGAGACCCTGCAGCGCCATTTACCCGACCCCTGTGGAACCCTCTCAGGTAATCCTTGAAAACAAGGGGAAGTCTGGGCTTGCTTAGTGGTCTCCACAGAAGCTGTACCAGGCCAACTCTCGGATCTGGGCCTTAGGAACGTCAGTTAGGAACGTTAGGAACGTCAGTTCAAGCCGGAGACATACAACACACACAGGGCATATGCCTGAGCACTGAAATGATGAGGAAAACAGGCACTGATTTCACCCTCTGAGATCTCCTCGCTTATTTCATTGCTGCTACTTACCTGACTACAGGGCCTCTTTAGATGAAGGAGTTGTGTATGTTTGCCTATGTGTGAAAGCAAAATGTGGGACGAACTTCTGACATTAGTCAAACCCCTTGGAATGGCATGCCCTGCTCAGAAGTTTCCCTTTATAAAATTTTATTTGTCTTTGAAGCACTGTGATTTCCAAGGTTTCATGTGTATCATGTTCCAGGCCTCCACCAGAGCGCCTGCTTCCTTTCTCCAGTGCCTCGGGATTCCCTTCCCATCCCTCAAAGCCTTTTCTTTTGGCTCTGCCTAGCGTGAGCGCTGCTGATGAGACTGGCAAATGAGCAGGGCTGCCTCCCTCTGCCTTTGCCATTCGTCTTGTTGCTGAAGAAGGAGAAGCTGAGTCCTCTCAGCTTGCCCCCCGAACTCCAGAGTCAGGAGGAAGGAACTGGGTCAGCCTCACTTGTTCATTCAGGCTTCCTTTGGAAGGGCTTCCCTCAGGCCCAGGGTGGATCAATCCAAGGATTGGGCCTTCTAGGCACTGCAAGGAGGTAGTTTCAGAGTCAGAGCTTCCTGGGTTGACCTGAGGTTATTTGGGAATCCTTTTAGAGCGGAGTTGCACACAGTTAACTCACACTCCAGCTAATGAATCTTTTTTCCACACTACCCCGACAGAAGTCTGGAGCTGCGTCTGGAAACAGATGAGCGCTAGTGGGATTTGGCTTGATTGGTTTATCTTTGCTGAGTGTGTGATCTTCCCAGAAGTCCCAGGATACTTCCCGTGCCCAGCACTGATGTCTCACAGAAATGATATCTGAGTGCGTTTGGCTGAACCAAGCAACCAGTTTTATTTCCCTTTGTCACTTGATGTTGCAAGGGAATTTCAGAGTTTGTTCCATCTGCTTGAGGAAAGCTTGTTGCCAGCAGGGGAAACTCTGAAAGCCTCTCCTGATTAGGCTCTTGAGCTTTTTTGCTTTGGGTAAAATTTGAAGCACAGTGTGACAGTGTGTATTGCCAGGGTCTCAATAATACCCATTGCTGCAGTGCATCTACTTTTAAGGACTTGCTGCTTTTAATGTATTATTAAGCAGAACCATATAAAATTTGCCTTTATTTGTGAAGTAAAAATTATAGACTAGCATATGTCTTAACCTTATCTGGAGCTAAAGGACTTCAAGGCCATACACATGAGTTGTTTTTTTTTTGAGCTAACACTCTGTAGTCCTTCCTTGCATTTCAAAATTGCCAGTCTTGCATTTGTATTCATTAAAAGTACCACTGCCACTTGCTATTTATTTGCCTCACATTTTATCATGAAAATTTATTTATCACTCTATTTAAAATTTAATATCATCTTCTCTAACACTGTGTTTTCTCCCTCAAACCAAAAGCTCTTCTCCCACCTTAAATATATCTGAATTCTTTGTTCCTAGGCTCATCACACTGTAGGAAAACTGTTTATAATAAAAAGTTGTGGTAATCATCTTATTTTTAAGAGGTCTCACATATCAGCATCTTGTATCATGAAAACAATGTACCTTTGCAGAGGCTGCTGTTTAATCATATTGGAGATGGAGCCTTGCCACGCAGTGATCCAAATCTTTCAGCACCCGAGAAAGGTGGGTAGAAAGCCAGCCTATTCATCAGTCCTGGAATGTTTTGTACTCATTTCCTCTGGTCTTCTGTGTATCTGTTTGAAAGAGAGTTTTTGCAGATCTTTAATGATTAGGACTAATTTGCTCTTTGGGGGATTAATGAGAGATAGTCATTCAAGATGCATTCTTCAAAAACACCACAGAAACAAAAACAGTTTCTTTATAGGATTTCCCAGCAGCAGCTAAGCCAGTTAGCAACTCCCCGTCTTAATGGCCTTGGTGTCATTCAGTGGGCCTCAGAGGCAATCCCTGGGCTTCCAGAAACAAAGTTGCTAGTTACTTTGTTCAGCACAATAGAAATAGCACCTTCCCAGGTTGATTCCACATCCCACCCTTTGTCTCTGCTTTACAAAGCTCATTCTGCCAGCTCATCTGTTGTGTATGGTGACCCAGATACTATTTAAGAATTGCAATCCAGTGCATAATGGAGTGTGGCCTGCCTCAAGGTCACACACAAAAATGAAAAACAAACACCGTGCCCAGCAGTTAATAGCCTATTAGCAGCACAGCGGAGGATGAAGAGTAGATTAAGTGTGACTTCCTCAGCTAAAGGGTGGGGGCTTTCCAGCAAATCAAGCCCATGCTTCTCTCAGGGTCAAGCCTCAAAAGTCAGGGTGGTTCCACAAGTCAATGAATCAAGAGTCACTAATGAAGTGTCCCTTTCAAGTACACTTTAATTGCCATCATTAGGAGCTGGGCTGCATTGTCATCTGAGCACACCAACACCTGAACATTCTTTCCCTTCAGAAGTGCAAATTGACAAAACAGTAGCTAAACACACCTTAATGATCCCAGTCAAGTGTATCTCTCTCGCTGTCTGGAGAATTGGGGAATATGTTATTTTTCTCACCCAGACTACCAAGCAAACTACTGTGAAAAGAAGAGAGAAAGAGAGTGTCATTCCAGCCCATTAAATCAACCTCCCAATTCAACAATAGTCAAATATTGAAATCCTGACTCTAGCCATCAGATGGCAGTATCTGTACAGGAAGAAAGCTACTGGAACTCTTCCGAAGATCTGATTTTGTAATCCTCATGGCACTGTCACTATTTATAACCGTGCGCATGTGTTGTTGCCCTTGTTCTGAACGGTGATGTTCCACATTTTAGCATCTTACTGAAGCATGGAACAGGGAAATTATCCCCATCCTCCCAGAATGCACCATCAGTCATCCAAAGTACTGTTTTGGGCACACGTTCAGTATAATCCTTCGCCTTTGGGAACCAGGGTCCTTTTCTCAAAGCTGGTCAGCACTGTGGTATGATACGGCTGTTTTTCCCCAGTTATTCTGCCAAATAGGTGAAAGAGTAATATCACTTTCTCTTGAGGCGAGGGGCACTTGTCCAGAAATTTTCACTTAAAGGTTTTTTTTTTTTAAATAGCCTAGTGACGATCTTCCATATGTTAGCCAGCATCTAAACACATTCATAATTCTCAACAAGTTTTTACACCGTAGTGTAGAGATTTGTAGCTCTGTTCGACTGCTTGAGGGAAGTAAAGAGACAGGCTATCACCCCATTAAATGTCAGCTATAACTGTGAGGAGGGCAATTAAATAAAGGTTTATTTAGAAGGGTTTTTTTTTTTTAACCCACTTGATTCTTTCTTTTACTTCTGGATAATTCTAACTCTCTTCTGTGATCTCAAACATTCCAAGAGCCAAGTGGATGGTGTGTTTTTAGCTGTGTTATTCCCTTCCAGCTGTGAACCCCACCCCTAGCAGCTGGAGCCTGGACAGTGGGAAAGAAGCCAAGACCATGTCGGATAGTGGGAAACTTATCTCTCCCCCTGTCCCTCCAAGACCCACACAGACTGGTGGGTATTTGAAGCATCTGAACAATCACTTTTATAAAAATAACTCTTACTGACCTCTCCAACTTGTGCTGAATTCCTCAGAGTAAGGTAGGCATTTGGTGTCTGAGATTAAAAAAAAAAAACAAAACCTCAGTGGCCGCACGGTTTATTTAGTCTCCCACTTTCTTGAATTTCTATTCCATCAAACAATGCTCCATTCCATAATAGTAGGAATATTAATATTAATATCACATATTAATAGGCATACTATTTAACCTCTCTAAAAGAAGTGCCACCGGATTTTATAGACCATTTCATTTTCTAAGCACCCTCCCCAAATTCTCAGATATACCGTAACTCTGCTAAGCACTTGACATTCTCTTTCAACCTCTGCAAACTCAGCTACCTTCAGCAGTCTCTTTCTGAACTGATGCCAGAGTTCCAGGTTGCCCCTAAAAAGGAATTGACTGACTGTAACTTCAATGGGCATGTGGGCGAACAACTGACCAGAGCTCTTTGTTGTTTCAAGAAGTCTATTGTCAAGGGCCCTATAGGATTAACTGGGGTAATGCATCCCCTGGGATGGGGCATTCTTGAGGCAGATTCTCACACCATACTTCAGATCTACTGAATCGGAATTTTACTATCTCTGAAGTAAGATCCTAGATTATGTGTTTTACTTAAACCTTTCTAGAACTTGAAAACGATTGAAAATTGAAAATCTTTTATAGCAATGAGGCCCCTTTCCCTCCTTATCTTTGTGACAGGAGAGCATTAGACTGACACTTGTCTAGACCAGCTTTAAAGCTTTAAACATACTATTGGCCTAAAATTAGGAGAAAGTGTGATGCTTCTTCCTTCATGTATTTTTCAGGATTAATCATGTTTTATTTGCCCTATTTTGGTATCTTTTCTGTTGTCATTAAGAAAGTAAAACTGAGCTTTTAAATTTAAAAAATAAAACTATTTCCCACATTGAATTATGATGTTTTAAAATTAAAATCACTGAATGATACCTAGTATATCATAGATACTCATGAACAATTAGCTGCCATTGGAGGGGAAAAAAACACATAAACTCTGTTACCTATTTTGTACAGAGCAGAGCTAAAGGTCACCAATTTGTTTTTGAAAGACAGGAGATCTTTAAACAGAAGATAGAACTTGAGGCTAATTGATCATCTGCAGCAACGTATCAGTGAGAGGGCGGAAGATTCAGGCTCAGGACCTGGTGATTTGTACATGATTCATGACGGTCACATATAAATCGAGTGCAGTCTTGAATTTAAACGTGGTTGTGTTTAAAATTAGGAACCTGAAATACATTTTTTTTTAAAGAATATTGAAGTTAGTGAGGTTTCTTCAGCAGTTAAAATTTCTAGACAAAGAGGTAAATAGAAATACTATCAGATTCTGTGGAGTGGCTGAGGTCAGTGAGTCTCCTGTAGAGGACATGAGTCCCAAGCCACAGCCACCTTGGACTTGGGTCATCATGATGGCAGAAACACAGTTTCCGGGCAGAGTCTGTGTCTGTGCCCGCACATGGTTTCATCACATTATGAACACCAGAGCCGACGGGCCCAGACACGCCAGAGACCTCACTTGCCTGGTTGTAACAGGGTCCCCTGTCCCTGCCCAGCCCGAGCACACAGGACTCCTAACTGGGCAGAGCTGCCCTCCCTTCTGCACTGATTGCTCTCAGGGTCTGTCCTCGTGTTGTCATCTGTGGTCACTGTCCAGGACGGGTCTGTCACTGTCTGTTTTTCCCTCAGCCTTTCTGTTGTTTTCATAAGTTCAGACCTCACTGTGACAGCTGGGAGAATGGGAACACCTCTGTGAGACACGGGGTTGGGGAAACCAGGAAGCTGCTTGCATTCGCCTACCTAACTGACTGGCTCACCCGAGGCTTTTAGTCTAGTCACACTTAAGAGAACTGGATGGGACACACACACACACACACACACACACACACACACACACACACTCACATTCTTTCTTTCTCTCCCTCCCTCTCTCTCTCATTCTCTCTCTCTCTCTCTCTCTCTCTCTCTCTCTCTCTCTCTCTCTCTCTCTCACACACACACACATACACACACACACACACGTATGCATGCACACAGCAGGGCCAGCTCCCATCCACTGCATCCCAGATGGAGGATGGAACACTAGTGGGAGAAGCGGAGAGCAAGAGCTCTTCTTTGCAAGGATAATGAGATCCAGAGCATCCCCCCACCTCTGCAGGGACTGAGGCAAGAGCTGAGCACAGGAAAGAAATGGAAAATCCCTCACCTTGAGTGTAGACACACAGAGATAAGAGATTTCTGTCTGGGGAGGACTAGAAGACTGGGAAAAGGGAGACTGATGGCAGAGTGATCCCAGGGACCTTATCTAAATGCTGAGGGATCTTCATTCTCTAACTACTACACCAGAGTCAGTGTTTGTTTGCTGCCATCTCACACCAAAATGTACTTTTGAATGCATTGTGACATCAAGAACCAGGTATACTTGGAGGAAATGAAAGGACATTGGGTCACTTTGGGGCCCTGTCACCTCACTCACTAGATGACATGTGAATGTCATCTAGTTTGCACAAATTGCAGCGCCAGTGTTAGTGCGCTCAAACATGCATATGCTGATGACTGTTCACAAGTCTCCTCATGGTTTTCTTTGATTCTCACCCCTCGTACAGAATCTCTTTTGGACAGGCATCCCTTAGTTTCTCTCTCAGCCTCCTTTCTAGAAGGTCCTTACATGCTAGATCATCCATCTGGGTTTGTGCATGTGGGGGGCGTTTATCATCAACTGTCTGGATCTTCCTAATTAAAATGATCACTCTCTGTTTACAGCTTCACCAGCGAGACATACGACACCAGTCTCCCCCTCACCCGCAGGGCGATCGCCAATGAAGGTACAGGCCCTTCTTTAGATAGGGGTCAGGACAGGTGCCACATCCCTTTACCCCTAAAACTCATCCCCGGTACATAGAGAAGTGTTTCCATTTGCATAGACAAAGACATGGGAACAGAAGTGGAGGAAAAGGACTAAAAAACATCAATAGTCTCCCCTTTTCTGGAACCACATCCATGGTTGCAGCCATTTAATTCCAAATTATTAAGTCTTGGTCTTCAAATGGTGGTAATGAGAATGTACAAACCAGAATGAGTAGATATACTGGATTATACACTGATTGAGGAAGAGAAATATGGTCCAATGTTTCCCCTAGGACATTTTTAGCTTGGCCGCGGTTTAAAGCACATTAGTTTGTTTGTATTTCCACATAAGTAGAAAAACATCAATAATTAAGATCTGCTAAATATTCCCCTGTGCTTTTTAGCCTTTATTCTAGGCCTCACCCATTTGGACAAAGTCAAACCCTGTATTCTCTTTGATTTTGGGGCTGGACAGGAGGACTCAGTTGCTTCTTGTGGTCCTCGGGGGACCATATGATACAGCGAATAGATCTGTGGTCCCTGCATGCAAAACATTCCCTAAACCCATTGAGTTATCTCTTCAGTCTTCTTTTGCCATTTTCTACCCAAGCTTTTACTTACGTTAGAGATATATACTTAATAATGAAAAACAAGGAATAAAATGAGTTAATTTAATTTCTGGAGGACACAGTAGACAGCTTTAAAGGTCAGACATTTGATTTGGTATGCAGATAGGCTATTTAACATCTCTAAGCATACAAAATCCTCTATGAAAGTAAAGAATAGTATTTAGTCTCTGTAGGGTCAATCTGGTGTTGATTTGTGTTGTGAGTGGCTGCACCAGAAAGAGGCAAATAAGCAGAAGTGAGTACTGAAATAATGATTTTTTGTACCTGAGCAATTTAGGATTTGCACCTTGCTTGTTCTTTTTTGTGGATGAGCTATTTCTAACGAACCTGATAGAAAAAGACAAATTAGCCTCTGCAGACACAGGCAGGTTGTGCTCAGAGGCGTCTGTGGTGCCAGGGTAGTTGCAGATCTAAATTGAGAAGGTGGAAAAACAAAACTACAATGAGGGAGAACCTCAGAGAAGTGTGATTTGGTTTGCATTTGCCAACTTTCTGGATGTAGATGTTTGCTAGTGATTTCAAGCAGGTTTGGGTTAGTTTTGTCATTCTGCATGGCAGCTATGGTACAGGTGACCATGCTGGCTCTGAAGCTGGAGACTGGGGGTGGGAGGGAGGTGGGGTAGGGGGAGAGTAAGAAACCAGAATGGTGTTTCAGTTTACCCTGGTATATGATGTGCTGCCACTGTTTGCCATGGAATTAACATCCGTGTGTTTCAACCCGATATTGCAAAGTAGAGATACTCAGGTTCATTTTATGTTTTAAGAACCAGTCTCGAATGGCTGAAAACATTCAAGTGGCTACCGAATAGACCTGATTAGAAAGGTGGCATAGATGGTCTTCTCTATGCACTGCATGTTTTTCTGCTGGCCGTGTGTGTGTGTGTGTGTGTGTGTGTGTGTGTGTGTGTGTGTGACCTTGCAACTAGTAGGGGTTGAACAGAAGAGAAGAACAGATGGGACATTTAAGTCATAACTCCTGGGTTACATTAGAGGGCACAGTGTCACCAACTATCTTTGCTGGGATGAGAATGCAGTTTGTTGTCTGAACGGATGATTTTTATTCAGCAATCAAATGGAGTTAACCCTACAGAAAGACTGTGATTACCTGCCTTATTTTGAGCTTGGGCTCTAATTTTTTTTTTAATAAAAACAGCAGTGAATTTAGATCACTTCATTGGCTATGCTTCATTTTTAGCTCCTGCTGCACATAAGGCTGTATCTCTATCAGCATTATTTTGCTTAAAAAGAGACCAAGGTAAAGTTAGTCTAGGGCAGCATTTCTCAAAGTGTCTTCCCTAGAACATTAGTTTTATAGGCCATTATGTGATAAATGAAAAAATGTTCTATGGTCAGATAAGTTTAGGAAACACTGGCTGAACAAAGTCATTGAGATTTCTTTATTGTAAGAGATGCTAATAGGCTTTGAATGTACTCAGGGAGTGCAGAAAATACAGCATTTACTGGCGGTCACACGGAGCATTTCTTAGGACTGAGTTTCCTTAAGACACCATATGGAGGAAGGGAGTGTGCAACTAGAGATATTACTGAAGTTGGAGAGCACAGGTGAGGCACCCTGGGTTTGACCCTTGGCATCACATGCTACCCAGAACATCATTGGTTTATGGCTCTGGTGGTCTTTTCACAACAAAAAAAAGTTTCCTTCATTGAATGAAAACTTTTACAGATATTGTGTAGGAAAGTAGCAAATTCAGATTTCAAACAGGCCTAGCCAGCTCACATGGCTGAGTTCAGGAAGTTAGTAGAACACGGTGAGATTGGTGGATCTTTGTTGGAACTATGGTAAAATAAGGATTCATGCCCCAGCTGAATAGGACAGATCCTGTTTGGCTTCCAAAGATGCCGAGCTTCATACTTAAAAAGATGAGAGGCTGAAGAGATAGTATAATGTGGAAAGCATTTGCCTTGCATGCACTCAATCTGAATTTGATCCCAGGCATCATTTATGGTGGTGCCTATCAGGGGTCATCCCTGAGCACAGCCAGGCATGCCCCTTCACAAAAAAAAAAAAAAAAAAAAAGATAAGGGGCTGAGAAAAGAGCTGTACAGGCTTAGAGCACATGCTCTGTACATCGGAACCCCAGGTTTGATCCCAGCACTGCATGGCATGGTCCCCCCAATCTGCCAGATGTCACCCCAAAACATATATACATATATACATATAGATGTGTGTGCGTGTATATATATACATATATATATATATATATGAGTCAGTGTTGCTTAAATTTCCAATTCTTTATAAAGTGCCAGAAATCTCAAGTTTTTTGAGGTATCTTCCTATTTCTAAAAGGCTGCTATGTCAGGTTTTAAAATAAATAAATAAAACACTACAGACAAACAGCCAACGTCCTGCTTCAGCTGAGGAAACTGCAGTGGGATTTGAAGAGGCAAGTTTTGAATCTTTGGCCTCTCTCTCTCTGCTTCTCTGCAAGCCTCCCAGAACTCACAGCCTGCTGAAGAGGGGAAGGGGACAGTGCCTTGTTTTTCCCCCTGCTCTCTATCTTTCAAACTGTGGACCTAATGATGCACCTCTGAATTCCTGCCCTGAAAGCAAGGAGGAGTTAAGTGGGCACTGGGGTGAAGTGAATGAACAGCAGCCCCGGCAGAGAAATGCCTGGCATATATTTTCAGTGCTGCAGATCACAAGAAATCTTGAGACATGGTGTTTGCAGGCATCCCATGACACCACAGCAAATCACCACCAACTGAGGGTCTTAAACAGCGCCGTGTGGGGTGGAGAGACAGTGCAGGGATTAAAGAAAGCACTTACCCAGCATCCAGCTGACACAGGTTTGATCTCCACCAAGGCCTGGTTGCCTGAGCACTGCTGAAAGTGAGTGAACAAGAAGCTACCATAGACTTAAGGAGCGCCAAACTGGTGTGATTTCAAGCAACCACTTTATCTCCCCCCAGAAAACACACACACACACACACACACACACACACACACACACACACAGTAGTTTCCTTACAGTTCTGAAGGCTGCAGGTTCAAGGTTCAGATGCCACCCGTCTTGGTTTCTTTGGAGACCTCCCAGCTAGCAGGTGCTCCCCTAGCCCCACAACCTCGCTGGCCTCTCTCCTGTATCCTTGACGTCCCACCGTCCAGGTGCACCCCTGGAGGGCTGCTTATAATTTAACCCCTTCTTGAGATGGAGGAATAGTAGGGGCTGGTAGGACACTTGCACACAGCCCACTCATACACAATCCCTTGTATGGTATAGCACTGAAGCACCATAGCACTGTCCTCCCGTCGTTCATCGATGTGCTCAAGCGGGCACCAGTAACGACTCCATTGTGAGACTTGTTACTGTTTTGGGCATATCGAGTACCTCACAGGTAGCTTGTCAGGCTCTATCGTGTGGGTGAGATATTCTGGGTAGCTTGCTGGACTCTCCAAGAGGGGCGGAGGAATGGAACCTGGGTCCATGGCAGCGTGCAAGGCAAACATCCTACCTGCTGTGCTATCTATCACTCCACCATATAAGGCCCCCCTAATTTGGCCAAGAGTGAACCCTGAGCACAGGGCCAGGAGTCAGCCTTGAGCACCACGGGCCTGGTGTGGACGTCTTGCACGAAACCAGCCACCGGCAATAGTCACCTCCAGGCGGCCTGGGAGTTAGGGTGCGTGGGTCGGGGGCTGATCGGAGAGGAATACTGCGGAGTCCTAACCTGACCGCCCTGCTTGTTCCCCCCGGAGCAGGGCTCGGTGCAGTCCTTCACCCCCTCGCCGGTGGATTACCACTCTCCAGGACTCAGCTCCAACTCCCCGGTCCTGTCCGGGAGCTACAGCAGCGGCATCTCTTCCCTCAGCCGGTGCAGCATGTCGGAAACCTCGGGCTTTGAGAATCCGGTGCACGAACCGTCAGCGCCCGGCCCGGGGTCCGGCTATCCGGGCCCCGGGCCGGGCCCCGAGGAGGCCCCGCGCAAGGAGAGCAAGACGCCGCCGCCCTACAGCGTGTACGAGCGGACTCTGCGGCGCCCTGTCCCGCTACCTCACAGCCTCTCCATCCCTGTCACCTCCGAGCCGCCCGCTTTGCCCCCCAAGCCCCTGGCGGCCAGATCCACCCACCTGGAGAATGGGACCAGGAGGACTGACCCTGGCCCGCGGCCCAGGCCCCTGCCCAGGAAGGTCTCGCAGCTCTGAGGCTGTTGTTGCCCGTGGGCCTGCCCCCCGGATCCCTTGCCGTTTACAGGAGAATTAAGTCTGATGAGAAGACACTTAGCGTAGGCACTTTAACTTGCTCCGATTTGTCTTTAGATGAATGGAATTCAAACCCGCTTAATTAACATAATGTTGCACAATTTTTAAAAAGTTACTGATCTGAAAGGCCAGATGTTACCCGAAGTGTGGCTGAATTTCATTAAACCGTTTCGCATTGTAAAGTGGTAAATAGTGATAGACTTCTTTTGTATCTTTTTATGTTCACTTTTTATATATATATATAGTTTAATCTTCATACCAATACAATATTGTCCAACAATACACTGTGTGATGATGTTGTATACTTTGTACCGAATACTTGATACTCCGAGAAAGCTTATTAAGTGTATGCACAGACTAGTACTTAAATGGTCCTTACTTTAAAAGACTTCTGTAAATAAGGAGAGATTTCTGGGTCTTTCCGTGAGCAGAATGATCAATGCACATCATCAGATTGAACCGTTAAAGCCGGTTAGTCAGATAATACACTTAAGGGTTGTAAGAATTGGGACTGCTGTTTTGATCTGGAAACAAAATACTGAATGTTACTTAGGACATTTGACAGCTGTCTATATTCTTAAAACTCTGCTTTGTGATTTGGTTGATAAATCCTTTAGTGCTCCGACGCCATGCTTTCAACTGTATTTCTTTTTTAAGGTGCAATTTATTTTGAGAGTTCCTATCAGGTGAATCATGCAAAAAGACCCCGGAGAAATGTTTACTTGAATTTTGTGCTTCCTAACTTGATAGTTTCCTGTGCAAGATCTGTCACTGAAAAAGAGCAGATATTCCTGTATTAAATAGGCACAAATTAATGTGTCCCATTAACAAGGATTCAGGAATCAATACAGGACAGTATTAAATCAATAGTGTAAATGGAGAACAAAAGATAAAAAAAAAACGTGGAGAAAATATATTAGCATGATTAAATGACAAAAAAGGACTTTTCAAAGGCAAGGGCATTAACTCTGAATCCTGCACAAAATAAAAAAGTCCTCACAACTCATCATTCTTACCAGTGGAAGAAGATAGTTTTCTTAGCTGATTCTGTTGTCCTTTTAGTTGAAGGAAGAGGACCACTATAGCTCGGAAACTGCAAACAGTCTCTTAGATCTAGAGAGTGGTGCTGATGTCCCCATTAGAGGAGCTGTGAGAAGAAAGCACCTTGTATGTAGTAATGTATTTTGTAGCTTTGTTTATTCTTTCACTGACTGTTTATAACACTCGATTGACAATAGATATGAACCGTATTTTAAATCATACTGTCAAATATTTTCCCTCTTTTGTTGGGAAGCTCATTTTAGTTTAACCGTGTTTGTTTTTGTTGCTAGCTTACCTGGAAGGCAGTGACCACTTTTTTATATTCTCTTAATGAAACCATTCAGCAGGTATATGCTGTTGAGGCTGGTTATAGAGGTTTTCTATAATAAATGTTCAGTATTTTTGTACATAACTGGTTAATTTTAATAAGAGATACCATTATGTGTAAAAAAAAGTAAAAATAAAAGCAAACAATTGTGGATGCAGTATGATTGTTATAATTATGCCAAATACTTTATGTATGGAAAAATATTTGTACATATGTGCTTTTAACAATAATTCTGCCATATTGACTTTACAATTTTGAATGTCAGAAGAATTAATATATGTTAAATATTTATGTTTAGTGAAAGAATTCTTAATTGAGAAAAGGAACATATGAATTTTAGCTTTGTATCTTGCAAGTTTTGCAGTCAGAAATTTCTTGAACTAGCTTTTGCTTTTGATGATAACACTTTGTGTTTGTAATCACATCCTTAAAATATAAATATATATATATAAATATAGGAAACTCCATATTTCTGTTGCTTTAAAGAAGTACAACTGTCCAATTAAATAAGATGACATGCATAAGATAACAAAGCTTCTTTGGTTTCCTTTTTCTCTGTAATTTAATAGATTTGTTGACTAGTGCTTGGGCACAGTATAAATCAGTGTTATTTGCTCTTGAAGCCTATTTTTAAAAAAAAAAAGTTTTGGCAATGAACAGTTGATTTATCATGTATGTGTATTTCTGAAGCAGCTGTTTAGCAGAACATTTCAAGAGATTTTGTTAGCTCAGATGTTCCTATTGGTTGCTGCTGAATGGTAAATATTAAATAAAATTACCAATTAATCTTAATAGTTCTGTCTTTATTCCTGTTATTGATGTGTCTTTTCCTGAAACCAGAGCTATGTAAATTTCTAGGTATATCATAATGAAGTTTTCAGAGATATTTATTGATCTGTTTGTTATTATGTCCTGTTTTTGATTCTATATCCTGGATGATACAGTGCTCACGATATAGCTTATTTATACCCTGGGAAAAAAATGACTGAAAAGGTTACTATCAGTAGAAAAGATGACATCTGAACATTAATTGGCCTAACCACATCCAAATATTTTTTTAAAGGGGAAGTATAGCCAGCGGTGTTCTCTGCCTGCTCTTGGCATGTTTTAAAGGGATTACTTCCAGTGTTTCTCAGGGAACCAAGAGGTGCCAGGAATAGAACCCAGAGCCTCACACATACAAGGCAAATACTCCCCCACTGAGTCACCTCCCCAGCACCTTCCACCCAGTTTTTACAAGTCCAGCTATCAATGTTTGCATTAGAAAACTTGACAGGGTTAGAAAAATAGCACAATATAGTTAACTTCAATGTCTAAAGAGCAATTGAGTACTGCCTTGAACAGCTTTTGACAAACCAGCTGCATCCCAGCCTTTTTCCCTGGTTTCCATAAAGTGCTAGGTCATGGGGAAATAGACTTGACAAGCACTGCAAACCCACTGACTATAAGATTTATGTAAATAAAGCCTGACTTCTAATTGTGTGAGATGAGTCTATGCTGTGTTAGGCCTAGACATTTATGTAACTCAATGCTCAAACAAGCTATTGTGTAAAGCCTCTGTCCCATTAAATACCAAGCCCATTTAAAGGCCATTGTCAGTGTCCTCCTGATTGTTTCTCAACATTAACTAAGTGGTTTTAGAGCTTTTTTGGATCATTTTCATTATAGCTGAGCCTGAATGTATTTCTATTCTACAAGCATAATTACATTATGAATAGCTCTGTTTCCTACCTAAGTAGTCTTCTCTCTGGATTGTTATTGATTGTTTTACAAAACACAACGAAGAGAAAAACAAGATGCATAGCTTTGCCTTTATTTGATCTTAATATGTTAAAAGGTGACTTGTACCAAAATGAATTCTTAGTTACTGATTGAAATAAGCCTTTCCCTTACTACATAAGAATAGCCTAAAGGTTTGCAAATTTGACAAATAATTTTATATATTTTTTCATGTGACATATATTTAAATCCCCTCTTATTTTTATATATCCCTTTAGTCTTTTTTTTTTACTTGTATTTAATACCTGATTTTATAATATCATTGAGCACTGTTCTCTTAATATCATCATTACAATCTACTGATAATCCCAGGTCAAGTTCAGTTCCTATTGCCTTAAGGGAGAGTCTTACTCAGAGTGATGTCTTTTTAATTCATTTGCAGTGATAGGGAAGATCCAGGAACTCCCACAGGCAAAGCAAACGCTCTCCTACTGAGCTACATTTCTTGCCCTTGATAGTTAGTGCCTCTGAAGAGGAAGGACAAAACCACTATTTTATTGAAGTTGAATAAAATAGTGAAATCAAAAACTTTTTGATCAGGTGTGTATTTCAATGAAGAGGCACTGTAAACATGATAAAAATTTGAGGATTGATAGGAAGAAGAAGATGATGATTTTAAGTGTAGGGATTCAAAGAGCCTTAGGACACAATTTATTGGCAATCTAATGAGTGTGTTGAAAAGTTTCTTTGACAACCATGGAGTTATTTGCCTGACTGAGACTCCTAGAAGATTAAAGATAATGCTATTAACCACTGGAATGGTGAGGTAAAGTTCACAGAAAGTCAGAATGAATAAGGGAGATTGTTTCACTTCTCAACATATTTTTTTTTACTTACAGTAATCACAATACCTGAGCATACTACCTGTATATTAGGTTTAATGTTACAATTATATGAAAAATAGAACTTAATATAAGCATGTTAAGTCTATATTATGTAGTTTAGTCATTTTATATAACTGTCTATAAAATGTCTATATTACAAATTTAGTAATTTCCCCATTAATGCGATAGCACAGTGGTAGGGCATTCGCCTTACTATCGGCCAACATGGCCGACCCGAGTTCGATTCCTCCGCCCCTCTTGGAGAGCCCGGCAAGCTACCGAGAGTATTCGATATTCGATATGCCAAACACAGTAACAACAAAGTCTCCAATGGAGATGTTACTGGGCCCGCTGGAGCAAATCGACGATCAACGGGAGGGCCTTTACCTTACCTTACCTTACCCCATTAATGGACTTTATAACATTGTTTCCCATTTTTTTCATTGCTACAAATAATTCTATTGACTCTCTTACAGCTTTTTCCCATGTTTCAGATTTCCTTAAAATGCATTTCCAGACAAATTGCCGAGGCAAAGGAATTATGATTTTTGTAAATTTTTTACATATAGACAGATGATTTCCCAAAGGTGTTGTACCAATTTTAGTGCCTTCAGCAATATTATTCCTAGATTGAATGTCGATAGTGTGTTTTGCTGTGTGGGAAGAAAATGTTGCTGCGTTACCCCAAATTTGAGAAAATGTTAACAAAATCAATTAAGCATTTTACAGAACCTGATGCTAAGGAAACTGATATACTCATAAAGGAAATGAAAAGGAGAGAGAGAAGACAGAAAAGTAACAGGCGTTATATTTTGTACAGGACATACTAAAAGTACTTCATCTTGGAGAAGAGATTGTGAGGAAAACATTTCCCATCTTCGAGTTATATAAAATACTAGAAAACCCCGGCAATCTGAACACAAGTTCTACCTCACTTATCTTGAGTTTACTCATCCTTCAAACAGTGAAAGTG